ATTACGTCTTCCTAATGAGAAATGCATGGTCAATAACGAGTCTCTATGTCTCTACATCTGTATTATTTGTCTAGCTGTTGTGCATGTGCGATTTTCGGATTCACGAAGATCGCGTTATGTCTTTAAGGATGTTTTGTATGTACAATCCCAGCAAAAAGTAGCTGAAAATCAATATTGACGAATATCCACTTTTGATGTATTTTGAATGAGAAATTGTGTGGAATATTAATTTGATCTTAGCTACAGTGCAGAGATGTATTTTTTAATATTTATTGCGTTTTTATTGAAATATTCCGAATTTTGTTAATACGAAATGATTAACTTTTGACAGAGAATTTCGCTTTGTGACAGATACATGACTAACTTTATTAAATTATATTTAATATCTTTTTAATCAGTTAGTATTTGTGTAATATTATTTGATCAAATATTTTCTCTGTATCTAAACTTTTGCAAATTTTAAACGAACTCTGAATATTATTTCCATGTGTTTTTGTCATTTGAATCGACGTTTCCCATAAGAACACATGTTAATTCGGTGCAAATTAAAATCCTTATAACTTGTGAATCGATTTAAAAATTATACCGAAGATTCTAAACATATGTAAGGACATTCTGTACAATTTTCATTAAATTCTCAATATTTTGAAAATAGGTACAAAACATCCTTAATCGAAATGACTAACTTTTGGCAGAGAATTTCGCCTTGTGACAGATACATGGCTAACTTTATTAAATTATATTTAATATTTTTTTAACCAGTTAGTATTTGTGTAATATTATTTGACCAAATATTTCCTCTGTATCTAAACGTTTGCAAATTTTAAACGAACTCTGAATATTATTTCCATGTGTTTTTGTCATTTGAATCGACGTTTCCCATAAGAACACATGTTAATTCGGTGCAAATTAAAATCCTTATAACTTGTGAATCGATTTAAAAATTATACCGAAGATTCTAAACATATGTAAGGACATTCTGTACAATTTTCAGTACATTCTCAATATTTTGAAAATAGGTACAAAACATCCTTAATCGAAATGATTAATTTTTGGTAGAGAATTTCGCCTTGTGACAGATACATGGCTAACTTTATTAAATTATATTTAATATCTTTTTAACCAGTTAATACTTGTCTAATATTATTCGACCAAATATTTCCTCTGTATCTAAACTTTTGCAAATTTTAAACAAATTCTGAATCTTATTTCCATGTGTTTTTGTCATTTAAATCGACGTGGTTATACGTTTCCCATAAGAACACATATTAATTCGGTGCAAATTAAAATCCTTATAACTTGTGAACGCTTTAGTGAATCTATTTAAAAATTGTACCGAAGATTCTAAACATATGTAAGGACATTCTGTACAATTTTCAGTACATTCTCAATATTTTGAAAATAGGTACAAAACATCCTTAAGAGTTGTTTCTCAGGAGAAAACACGTGCGAACGTATTCACAGACAGAGTTTCCGTTTCGAAATACTTCTGACTTAAGTGTAAGCTAGAGATGGGTGAAAGCAATGCACTTGAGTGAAAGTCAAATTCTTCACTGCGCCTGTCTCTCGGAACTTTTATAAGTGTCATTAATCGGCAGAATATGAAAAAGTTAATGACAAGGTATGTCGATGTAGTGGATTCGACGTGCCGTGCAAATCAACGCGGATTTGAAAGCGAAAGGATCGTTCTTCGGTGTTATATATACGTAGTCCGTACACTGTATTTGCTTCTTTTTCTATAATTTTATTCGAATAGAAAACCCCGTGGTGTTAAAACCGAGAAATTACTAAGGAATACTAAATGTATAATCTTTAATCTTATTTCATTTGATAAACAATATTAACTCTTACACTGTATTATTTTTGATACTTGAAAGTACACAGGAGGGGTCATTTTTGTTCCTTTTCAAAGGATAAAAATATTCAAAAAATTTGGAAAAATTCATATGCCCTCTTTGATCTTTTTAAGTAGAGGCTAAAATAGTAAACTTGCAAAATAATTTTGCTTTAATATATTTTTATTGCAAATATGTGAAGCGAAATGCTCAAAGTGCATTACTATGGGAAATAAAATTATAAATTTTTATACTTTTTAAACAAATGATTGAATTATAACGAAACTTTTTAAAATAAAAATTGAAACTCTGAATGGTGATAAAAAATGCCATATTAATTAATTAAAATTAGACAATTAATTTTGAGACATTTTTGAAATATCGAAGTCGATTTTTTCGTAAATGAAAAATTTTTATTTGAATCAAAATTTCTATTTGAATCAAATATTGTTATTATCACAAAGTGGCTATTATATAAAATATATCGATTATTTATATAATATATATCGATTATTACTGTAAAATATTTGTAAAGTACACATGTAAAAGATGAAAATCTCTATGGAACGTTGTGCACATTTTCAGTTATATAGAAGGATATTCAATTTATTTTTTTGCCCAAACAAAATAAAATGTGTTTAAAAATACTACAAAAACAAATTTTTAAAGAAGAGTAAAAATTCATTTTTCTTCACGAAAAGTATGTTTAAAGTATATAAGGAAGTCTTTTTGTTCTCGAAAGATTTTGCAACTTGTCCTTCAGAAAGAAATTAACACAAGTAACGGCTCTTTTACTTTTATTTTACTATTTATTTGCTCGATTTAATAGTTTTTTTCTAAGGAAACAGCGGTCTTCGTACCGTTAATTTTTGATTAATGAATACCGCTAGAAATAATAAGGTCAAAAATGACTTTCATAAAAATTAAATATTTTATCCAAGGATATATTATGAAAAAAATATAGTACAGTATACACAATATATTTTAGAAATGGATGATTTAATAAAAAACATTAATGAGATATTTCGGTAATTAGATTTCTTTTGAAAGTATTAAAAAATATTAATTTTAATTCCCGCGTACACATATAAAAAAAATTGTCTAATTTTTTTTTTTAATATTTTTATAAGATCATATTCTATATGCATGTGTTATTATATATGTCAGCTTTTAAGCTTACGTAATGAAATGCAACCTTGATAAAAATAAACTGAACTCAAAGAGAATTGACTATCTAGTTACTGCATGTGTGATATAAGCTAATTTAATATTTAAAGAAGTTCGAAACGAAAGGATAAACAACAGCAACGATAAAAATCTGTTGCCGGTCTGCTTAATCATTTGCAATGCTAGTTAGTGTAATAATTATAGTGCGATAATTATTTTGTTATATATTATAAAAAAACAATAATTAATATATGTAAAATTCTAACTCTTATACTGTGTGTGCCTAAACAATAAATTATTGTTGTATACATATAAATTATATATGTATATAAATTATAATAATTCTTTCATAGATAGATATATAGATGTCTTTTCTCTCTGAATTTGCAACGGATATTAATTTCCAGCTAATAATTTAATTCTTTCGACATAAGTGCCTTCAAAATTAACGGATATAATTTTTATCTATTTGTATCAATAAAGTTTAGTTTGAAAAGTCGTTGGTAAAAATTAATTTGTACAGCACAGATTATTTTCCTTTTGACATATACTTAATATATGCTTTGTGAATCCTGTTGCTTTCTCTTTTGATTTCTGAGATACGCGATTTTGGAATATTATAATTTTCGTACTTATTTGTACCATCTTTTTTATATCTTTGGATGATTATATTTTTTTATTTACATTTACTTGTTAATGTGTCACGGTTCTGGATTATTGTTTGTTTTTTTTGTTTACATTGCTTGTCTTGAATCTGTATTAGATTTATCTATTATTAAAAATAAAAAATAAATATTTAAATAAACGTATAAGCGGGGGAGGAAAGTCTGTTCCCTGCTCAACTTTGTAATAAAGTAAAATACATGGTTTGGATTTTTTGTAATAAAGTAAAATACATGGTTTGGATTTTTCACACAAAAGAAAGTTTGAAATAAATGAATTCGATGTTTGCGTATTTAAATCTTTAAGTAAATGTTAAATAATATATATATAGATAGATTAATCTTTTAGGCATAAACGCTTAAAAATGATAAAACCTTTTATTTTTTGGGAATCATGATTTTATATCAAGTTTAAGATTATTAAAATTAAAAAAATTAAAAACTAAAATTGTTATTGTTACAATATTTCAAAATTGCATATTTCAGAAATCAAAAGAGACGTTATAAAATTCAATGTGTGTATTACTTTAAATGTCTCCTTAATATATGTCAAAAAGAAAGTAATACGTGCCACGTAAATGTAAAACATTGTAAACATTTACCGAGTCTTTTAGTTTCAATCGTTTATAGTTTAAAAAGCCTTGGTCATTCGAAAGATCTTTGTGTTGAGAAAAAATAATCACAATAACAAATAATCAAAAATTCGAATAGAGGACAACTAAGGGCACGTTGAGGCACGCCGTATCGAATCGAACTACATCTGTCATCGAAACCAGATATGAAGAAATAATTTTGATTAATTCAATTTAAAATTTAATTTAATTTAAAATTTAATTTAATTTAAAATTAATTTAATTTTATTTAAATTAATTAATAAATAAAAAAAATTATTAAATTATTCAAATAAATAAATAAATTTAATTGTAATCAATAAATATTTTCTCGTACAATTATGCAAATTTCATATCCACTCACAGTACGATACACTCACGCATTCCCAGTGCGTATCGTTCGCGTCGCTGCGATCGGTTCACGTTAACCGATGCCCCGTCGTCGCATTCCACCTGTCAGAATCAGAAGGTAGCGTCGCGTACGCATCCACCCAGAGAAAAAGAGCGACGAGATAAGAGAGAGAGAAAGAGAGAGAGAGAGGTAGAAATACGGACGCGGTGCCGGTCAGCCTCGAAAACTCTCGTTGTCTCGATATGGCAATGCCTCGCACACATGTACACGCATGTACATGCATATATGTACACATATGTACATACATTCAGGGGTACGAAGAAAAAAAAAAAAAAAGAGTATACAATAAAAATTCGAAATGCAAAGTACTCACCGTTTTAACAGCCATCGTCCATCGACCAGCCACGCCGCATTCTAATCTTGATTTTCTCGCGGTAGAAGTTCTAGGATCGCTCCCCGTCAAGTCTTCCAGAGCCGACTTCAGGCCGATGCCGATCCGCGTCTACCTTGCCTCGCGACTTGCCTCGCGCCTGTCAATAATCGTGGCAGTTTGCTTCGTTTGCACGGCGTAAGGAGAGATTGTTAAAACGCGCACCACCGCATCGCGAATCGCGCGCGAATTAAAAGTCAAGGGAATTCAAGCTGCGTGTATTTACAACGACGCGAAAGAACGAAGCGTTACCGATCACTCGAGCCAGCGACGCTTGCCACAACATAACTGGATGCCGCCTGGTGGGGGAACCAAACGTCGCGAAGAAAGACGCGCGGGAGGGAGGGGGAAGGGCCGTGAAAGTAGGGGTAGGGCGTGGGACGGTGGTAGAGGGAGAGGGGAAAGGCCTCTCTCCGGAGCACGAGTAGGAGGAAGAATGATCGAGACGTACAAACGGCATTGTATTTATCCATTTCCGGTCAACATTGCAAAAATGCAACATTTATCATCTCCCCCTCTCTCTCTCTTTTTCTCTCTCTTCTGTTCCTTTTTCTATTATTACTAATAATAATTAGAAATAATATTTCTAATAATAATTATCCAATATTATCTTAATACTTATCTTAATACTATCTAATATTGTTTTTAATAATAATTAGAAATGATATTATTAGAAATATTATTTCTAATAATATTTCTAATAATATAGCAATTGCAGAAAAAGATACTATTATATTCGAAAGTTTGATTAATTGTTTTTTTAATTAATTGTTGTTCAATTTCAAAGTTTGAAAATTAATAAATAATTAAGGCCTCTCTCCGGAGCACGAGTAGGAGGAAGAATGATCGAGACGTACAAACGGCATTGTATTTATCCATTTCCGGTCAACATTGCAAAAATGCAACATTTATCATCTTTCTCTTTTTCTCTCTCTTTTGTTCCTTTTTCTATTATTTCTAATAATAATTAGAAATAATATTTCTAATAATAATTATCTAATATTATCTTAATACTATCTAATATTATTTTTAATAATAATTAGAAATAATATTATTAGAAATATTATTTCTAATAATATTATTTTCTAATAATAATATTATCTTGAAAAAAATTATGAAATGCCAGAACTATACATATTGTATAATATTTTTCTGCAATTGCTATAATATTAGAAATAATTATTAGAAATATTATTAGAAATAATATTTCTAATAATTATTTCTAATATTATTTCTAATAATATTTCTAATAATTATTTCTAATATTATAGCAATTGCAGAAAAATATTATACAATATGTATAGTTCTGGCATCTCGTAATTTTTTTCAAGATACTATTATTCGAAAGTTTGATTAATTTATACCGAATATAAATTAATCTCTCTCTTTCTTTCTTTCTCTTTCGTAGATTTAATCTTGGACAGCGGAAATATGTATTCCTTTTAGCAAACATAATTAATTATTATGTGTATGTAAATCTAAAAATGGGATATACATGTTGCTTTCAGAGATTCAACTGTCAAATGAATTTTGCGCGAGTAAATTCAGAGTTTAGAATATGCATACGCATTGAAAAAATATAAAGATTTGTCAACGTGTTCGATATTGTGAGACAGAAAACGCGTCTCATGTATCTGTCATTTTATTTTCTTGTTATGTTTTACGTAAATATAAATGACTTTGACTATATTAACATTTCTAAAGTCATCAGATAAATGGATTAGGTAAATCAATAAAATATCCATTTTTTTCTCATATCTTAGACACCATTGTATAACGTTACCCATGCAAAAAATTTCTAGTATTCAAAAACCCTGTCTATAAATTCGGTTATAAAATGCATGATTTTTGCTTCGATAAAAATATCATGTGTCAATTTCTCATTTATCGAACGAACGAACCTCGAATCTGATGATGCTAAAATATCCGATTTCGTGAAATATCACTCTATCTCTCATTTGTTTTTATTCTTGTTTCATTTTTCTTGGATAAGTCTTGATTGGCAAAATTTATACAATCCCTAGAAAATAAATTCACATCGAATTATTATAAGATAATTATCTGATTCTGAATATTGATTTTATTGTAGGTGGAATAAACACAATAATAAAGCGATAAGATTTTAAGATAATTATATAAAACAGGAGAGGAAATTGGGCCAATAAGAGCCAGGCACTTTAGTAAGGACGCGATCAATATTATAAATAATTTTCTTTAATATATCTTCATGGACACGCCTCGATCTATTTTTTGATCGTCTTCAGCGTAATATCTGAAAATAAAGAAGTTTGTGCGAAAAGATCCAGAATACTCATTTACATTAGCTCTGTTTATAAATAGCTCATTAGTTCTCTCAGTATTTTGAGAAATTTAATAATTTCATCACCTATCGGTGAGATCACTATTGAAAAACAAAGAAAGATGGTTAAACGAAAAATAAAGATAGTAAAAAAATTAATCAAAATGAAGATATACCAAAGAAAATTATTTATAATATTGATTACACTCTTTTTACTGCACCTGATTTTTATTAATCCAGTTCTTTCTTATGTTTTATTTTCTTTAATTGATTAAATTATCAATTAATTATTATTAAAATTAATTAAAATAATTAAAGATTAAATTATAAATATATATTTATAAAATTTATAACTGTATGTTTCAAAATTTCAAGAATTCGAGCAATTTAGAAGAATGACATGTCTCTGTTGATGGAACAAGAGCATAATATTTTATATTTCCACGAAGGCGAATCATTTACTCCGCTTTCAAATCATATGAATTGTTACAGATAAAATAGATTTCTGAAGAGCAAAAACAATGAAACATCTTGAATAGTGTTCAATTAATTATTAATTAATTCATATAGTTTCCAATTAATTATTAATTAATTCATGTTAAACTTTTACATGATTTGTTGAATTAACAGCTCTAAACGTGTATTTTTTATAATACCTTAATATTAAGGTTGGAGCTTTTTACATGGAAATACATCTCGACTATGTCTAGTACAATTTCCTTATTTGCGTTTACAATACATAATCTTTTTCATTCGTGATGCGGCGTTACAGTGTCGCGCAGCAGGTGCAATTAAGAAATACCAAGAAAAGTGGGAGGGAATTAATAGCAGCCGGTATATAATAGTGCATTGTGCAGCTTCGCGAAGACTTTTTTCGCAGAGCATACAATTCATATTGTGTTTTCGATGGTTTTATATAACATCTGGAATCCTCTAATCATCTGATCTTAACGCGTACGCGTTTGTGCGGAAAATGTTGACAATTTTGTTACTCATTTTTTAATTTAATTATTTTCAAATATTTTAAAAATTATTATATTATTTTGAAAATGATATTTGAAAATATTATTCATTACATTTATATTTAGTTATATTTTTTGTAAAATTTATTATTGTGAAATAATTCGAAAGGTTTTTAAAAAAATTTTATAAAAAATAATTAATAAAATATAATTACAATTACAATTACTTAGGAAAATCAAAATATGTGAATGTACATTTTTTTAAATTTATATCTCGAACATTATTATCATTATTCAAAAATAGATTACGAGTCATAACTATAACAAAAGAAATGTCAATTAAATTGTTTTTGTTTTCTAAAAAAGTCTTAAATTGATCTTAAAGTATCAAAATCATTATATCACTTTTAATTACAATTTTATGCCTGAAAAATTACAATACAACTTTTAGAAAAAATATAATTTTTAATTCAAAAATAATGGGAGAGAGAAAGAAAGACATTAATGAATTGTTAATTTGAAAGAATAAAGTAAATATAAACATATTGTACAGATGCTGTATGTGCATACTTTTATACACATGATTATAATCGTACATATACTTATGGATATGTACATATGGATATTATGTTTATATTTTACTTTGCACAACCGAATTCAAATGCAAATCAGATGCAAATGCAAGATGAAAATACACTGAGATGACATACATATTTTATCGATATCGATAAATTGCAGATCTTGTTAACAAAAGAGTGATTTAACTAACTTCTCATATAATTAAACGAATTGAAATTTATTGTATGATATATACATCCATTTCAATCTTCAGTCTTTTTTATTACTGATTATTTTACTCATTTTTTTAGATCCATCGTGTTTATTATTTATATAAACAGATAAATTATACTTTTTCAAATTTGTATCATTATATCTTATATTTATATTCCAGAAAAAAATACATCTGATTTAATTTAATGTATCTATAAAAACTCTTATATAATTTGTGTTTTTAAAGTATTCCAAAATATACTATTTTTCGTGACAAACATACATAACTATTAATATTTTATTATGATAAAAACAATCTTGAAATAGAAAAATTTAGCATATTATTTATACACTTTTTTGTACTATACTTCGAATAAATTTTATTTAATGACATTACAAATGTTTTCAAGTGACTGATCATGCAATCAAAATAAAAAACCTTTACCACTTATTCTAATTGTTCAATTTTCGACTCGAAGCATTTGTAATATCAGTATAATGTTACATTCATCATATTTTTTTATTGAAAGAAAAAGTTACATAAGATCTGAAAAATACCCATTCTGTAAAATTGTGATAAAATCTTCCTTTTAAATTTGGATCACTCTCATATTTAAGCTAATATATTCCCATTTATGATATTTCTATATGTCGATTATTATCCAATATGTAATCTATAAATGTAATTATGTTTATTATAACAAACAAACTAAATAGAATATTTTTATTTTTTAATTGGCAAAGAGTAAAAGATTTTTTGCTTACTTTTTTTGCTATCCTTCAGCACTGATAAAAAAAGTAACAAATTAAAAAGAAGAATAATTCGGAATTCTCTTAAAAAGAAAACTGAACAGTATATATACTGTATATTATATCATATCATATAATATATATATATATATATATATATATGTGTGTGTGTGTGTGTATAAAATGCATTTTTACTTGATGCTATTTTCGTTTTAAAACGTTTTGGTCTGTTAAACATTTCAAAACAAAATAACATTGAACAAAATGCGCTCATAATATGCTAATAGAAAGTTACAAGTTTTTTTTTTAAATCCTGTGAGAGAGAAAAAGATGACTGCGACCTCTTTTCGGTTTTTTTTTACACTATATTAATTGATTATTTCAATTCATGTGTTTGTCATTTCATTCTTGTGCTATGATTGTGAATTACTATGTTAAAACGATTAAAGTAATTTATCATATTATTGTATAATTTAGTAAAATATTTGTTATATATTATTTTTTATAATATTCTTTGTATACTTTTTTCTATATTATTATTTTTATAATTCTATATGTAATTGATCTATACAATTATTTATATTCTATATATTTTTTATATGCATTTTTAAATCCAGAATGCATTACCAAATAGTATATTACTCGATAGTACAAAGGAAAATTTAAAAGTAAATCTATGTAAATAATTTGCTATTTACGAAAATAAAAAATTCTGAATTGATAAAAATCGAAATTGCGCAAATTGGAAAATGGCGAACTAATCATAAAAGGCCTCTTGGCAAAAACAAATTGCATAAACTAAAATTAGGCTCTTTACTTTGCTTTACTTGGAAAACACTTAGAATACGTATGACACATACATAATCTAAGGCTTTTTTACATTAATTTTAGATATATACATACCATTTTCTTATAAATTTAATCAAATTAATTTCTTTAGAAGAAATAATAATAAAGAATACAAGATGGGAGTTTGTATTTCAAGATGTTTTTATTATCAATGGACCATCATTAGATACTTATTTGGCTTTCTTGCTTTTAATCTTTCGCATGTAAAATTCAAGTTCTTTGCCTTCCAAGATGTAGCCATCAGATCGACCACACTGACCAGGTCTGCTCGCTATACAAGCTGAAATTGAAATATATTGAAATATATTGAAATTATTAATTTCATTAAATCCAAAATACAATATAAAGCAAGACAATAAAAAAATATTTTGTAATTATAAATAAATCACTTTAACATTTGTTTAAAAATGTACAAATGTTCAAGAAGGTACATTAATATTTATATTTTATAAACAATTATATTAAAAAAATAAAATATTCATACCAAGAACACGTCCTGTTGCAAATTGTTCTTCCAAAGCAGGTTCAACTTTAGCAAACCGCTGTCTGGCTTTGTATTTAGATTCTGCCTTTTTGGAACGCTTTTTATTCAATACTTCTTCCTCAGCTTCAGTCTAGAAAAACAATTATACTTTATGTTACTTCATGTTACTTCATTTTATCATGTTACTTTATGTTACTTCATTTTATCATTTTATAAATTTAAATTAAGCCACATTTCAGTACTCACCAGTTTAGCGCCTCTTTTACGGCCCAGTGGGAGAACATAATGACCCTCGTACCATTGTCTGAATGGTGTAGCATCAATAGTAACAATGGCATTTTTCACCAAAGTTTTAGTTCTCACTAATTCATTGTTTGAGGCATTGTAAACAACATCGATGATACGAGTTTTTCTGGTACTACACTCGGAGCCCCATGAAAAATTTCCTGTATCCAATCTAAGAGCTCGGTACTTCTTATTACCTCCTCGGGTACGGACCTGATATAAAATATTTATAGCAAAGTTTAAAACAATTGGTTTAACTTCAATACGTTATATATTTAAAATTTAAATTAAAGAGCAGTGTGAAATTGTGGTTAATCAGAATTCAGAGTAACAATAAATCATAGATGTGTTAATTATATACTATTAAAAAAATACTATTCTATAAACAATTGTAATAATATAGATGTCCTTGATGATACATTTATGACTATAAATTTTGTATATTTATATTTAATTATTGTATGATATTCTCTTTTGTAATTTATTTATCGTAAAAATTAAGTTTAGACTTACAGTATGAATCCGCTGTGGTCCAAGCTTGGTATTTGCAGCTGGACGTCCTAATTCAAACTTCCTCTTCTTACGAATAGGTTTTCTTTTCCCACCAGTAGCTCGCCTTTTATGCCAATGATCCCGAGAAATACCTGTAATATCGGTGAATACATAATATGAACTTAGACACGTTGAATTTTTTTCTTTCACAAGATATTTTAATTCATAACCAAGTATGCAACATTGATACTATGGAATTTAGTTTTTTTTACATTGAATTTTAATACTTTATAACTATCCAAATAATCAATATAAGCCTACTTTTGTCAATAATATGGTATTCACATTGTTAAATAAATAGAAATATAAATCATGGGGCAAATTATCATTGAATATCGCTGTAAGTGCAGGTATTTTTAAGACATATTTTTTTATGAATCAAATATGGAGATACAAAAATAATATTTTCTCTCGAGACAAAGACATCTGATTCACGCGATATTGATGCTGCATTGCAATATTAAAACGAAAAAACGTGGATTATCATCGATACGAATTTAATCATGTTCTTACCCATTTCGTCGCTATAAAGAAAGAACCCGGACTGCGAGATACTAGAGACACATTCGTGTATCGAATATTGTAGGTGACAGAGATGCGCATGCGTGTCAGTGGCCGCATTCAGCGGACTCAACCGCTAAGTAGCAATCGAATATGATTGGTTTCTACTTTCAGGTCCGACCAATCAGCGTCGAGTTACATCGGAAAATCTAGGAATGTTGCCCAACTGTTGAATCCGCTGAATGCGGCCAGTGATGCGCTGTGGGATTTTTCTAGGATTTTTCTAGGATTTTTTCTGTCTGGCGTATACGATTTAGCATCCCTGTATCATGTGGATCTTTGTATTTTATACTTTATGCCGTATTACATTTGTATACCAGAAAGAAGACTGAGAGATGTCATGGCCCGCTTTTAGGTGATCCCTGAAAGCGATACTCCCTCTATGGACATTAAAAACAAAACATGAACTACAATGTTAATGTCCACGAATGTTCTCAGAGGGTAACATATATGTCTCTTTGATAATATAAATAATATAAATAAAACTATAAATATAAATAATTTAATTAATAATAATTTACTGTATAAAAATATCATGTTATTTATTGTATAAAAATATCATGTTATATTATATGTTCTCTCTTTTCACGCTATTATTTATTTATTTATTTAGCTCGCTACCGACATTTCGTGCACATAGCACGGAACAAAACCAGAAATTGTGCACATTATATATTACCCTCCGAGAACATTCATGGAAATTGGGTTTGTAGTTCATGTCCATGTTTTCAATGTTCATAGAGGGAGTATCGCTTTCAGGGACCTAAAAGCAGGCCATGACATCTCTGTTTTCTCCCTGACCATGCTAAACAAAGGGATGGCTCATTCCAATTTCCAATATGTGTAGAGTTCAGTGTGTTTGCGTACATCAAATGAACGATGAGAGATGAAATTTGGTGAAATCTACATTGATCATAAATTATATATGAAATTATAATTCGTTCAAAATAACTGTTGTCATTTATCGTGCGTCCGAAATTACTCTTAAATAATATTGTTTTGAGGTTATAATTTTGTCAAATATTATAGTCAATATTTTTGTAATTTTCGATATTTCTTCATTTTTGCTATCTTATTATATTTAATATGTTCACATCCACATTTAAATATATTTTATATTTATATATATTGTGTACATTATGTAAAAACTATTGTTTCTTTCGCAGTATATAACATGGCTAGAGAACGCGGAATCTTTAAAATGATTTGGAATAATTTTATATCTTCGCTAAAGCCTCAATTTGCTCGTCGTAAGTTGATGGGCGAAGATTACTATGGCACAAAATATTACGAGGAAGATATTCGCAATTCCAGACGATCGAGAGCCCCTCGATATTTTGTACCGGTAAACAAAGACAACTTTGAGCAAGAACTGCCCGCTGAATGGGAATCTTGGTTGAGATATCGTAGGAAGGATCCACCTACGCGAGAAGAAGTTGAAGCAAGTTATCGATTAGCGATGACCAAGAAAGAGAACGCCGCGAAGCTCTTAGAAGAAAACTATTCTAAGAAGGAAGCTTCTAAAGATCTTCCTGCTCAACCATCTGCTTCTCAGCCTGCTAATTCAGGAAACTTTCCAGCTTACGAAGAATATAAGGATCTTGGTAAAAATTATTCACCAAAAGATCCATATAAGTATTGAAAAAACTAAGATGTAGGAACAATTTTAGAATAAAACTAAACTATTATATATTTATAAAATAAATATTTGATAAAACCTTATATCATTGGATATATATTTTAAGAGATCATTAAAAACCATGTAATGTGGATTTTGTAAAGATGAATGTGTACATATATTTATATATGTAAAACAATTTATTAATCTCTATTATTTCTATACATGTAAATTAATATATCGCGCGCTTTCCTATACAATATTAACTTATGTTGAAATTAAAACACTGATACTACATAATGAACAGTTAGTGTATGAAATATTTATTTTGGAAAAGCTAATTGTCTAGTTTAAACCTGCAGTTGACTGTGTGATTGCAGTTGTCTAGAATAGCTTGATCACTATGATTTATTTTACAGAGGAAACTTTGCGAACATAATACTCTAAATCACTTGATCAATCTGGATTTTCTCCTTCAAGTTGCACTGTGCACTTCCTACATTTTGTAATTTAATTTACTATGAATTTTTTACTAGATATTAACTTCTGACTTTTACTGAATGCATAGCTAAAAAAATTTCAATTATAGACAGCAAATTCACACAGTGTTGTTTACTAAATATGTAATCTTTTTTTATACCAATGAAATTGAAACTTAATAAGAGAGCGTATTTCAACCAGAAAAATCATTATTGTCAAACAGGGCCTGGTCATATAGTTCGCCTTTAACCAATCGCCCACCGAAATAACGACCATTTAACGAATCTCTTGCACGTTCCGCTTCTGAAAATAAATTCGACAATTATATAGTAAATCGTTAACATGTACAGAATAATTTAGATTTTTCACGCTCTCGTGGACGAGAGTATGATCACTTTGAACACATACAAATATACTTTACCACTCATTTGAGAGAATTCGACGAATATTTTGACGATAACTTCTGCGTTTTCATCATCCTCGGATTGTCTTTCCTTATAAATAATAACACGCTCTACCACACCAAATTTGGAGCATTCATCTTGAATCTCTTCCTGTAGGGTTTCATCCACATCCTCCGGCGCCACCATATTTCTCAAGATGACTACGCGAGATTCGACTTTACGCATAAGCTTTTGCATAACAAGATGACGTGCACTTTGGCCTTTGATAGACATATTTTCCTGTTGCTGCAACGTTTGCGGTTCCGTTTCCTCTAACAGCTTCTTCTGTAATTCCTCTTGTTGTTTCTGATGAGCCGCTTGTTCCTGCGCCCGTCTCATAATATCGGAATTTGCGGTTGTTGTAACCGGTATCTAATAAGTGCAGTTAAATTTTTTTGGAATTAATATGTCAATAATTTATAAATATTAATGTCGAGATAAATTGATAAGATATTTACAACTGGTGTGCCAACGATCGTAGGAGCAACAACAGCTGGAGGTGGTATAACGACCGGTTGACCAGGAATCGGTTGAATAATAGCGGGTGGTCGTGTTAAGGTCTGCGGTATGGCAATGCCAGGTGGAGGTATTACCGGCGCCACCGTTGCTACCGTTGGTGGTGCCATTATCGCCGCAGGTGCTATAGTAGGTCGTACAACGCCAGGAAGAGCTAATATAAAAGTAATGGAAAATATATATATAATATTTTCTCTTTTCTTTAAAATTCAAATTTTTTATACAGGATGTTTCAGACCACCCGTACCACCCATTTAAAAACTAGAAAAGTGGTTATTTCAAAAAAGTTATTTCAAAAAACATTTTCTTTATAAATCAGGTGCGCTCTATCGAATGGCGATATTTTCAACTTCTGGTTCCGGTCGGAAATAAGCGATTCAGACCGGAAGTGCATTTTTTTAAATGGAACCCCCCATTTTTTATGGCATATTCTTGTACCTTACCTCGAGAGCTTTCCAAAACACTATAATAAATTATTTTTCCATGAAGTACTTTTCGAGTTATGAGGCTTGAAATCATTTCTTAATTTTACATAAATCATAAAATATCTTGTAAAATATTCATGTTTCGATTATCTTACCTTAATACTTTTATGTACAAAATAATGAGAGGAATCAATTGGTGTAAAGAAAACACAATAGTTGTCTCTGAGAAAAAATATGTAATTTGCAATTAACAATTCCATATTTTTTCTTAAAAACAACTGTATGTTTTCTTAGTATGCTTTCCATAAAAGTATTAAGGTAAGATAATCGAAAAATGAATATTTTACAAGATATTTTATGGTTTATGTAAAATTAAGAAATGGTTTCAAGTCTCATAATTCAAAAAGTGCTTCGTGGAAAAATAATTTATTATAATGTTTTGGAAAGCTTTTGAGGTAAGCTACAAGAATATCAATAAAAAATAGGGGATTCCATTTAAAAAAATGCACCTCCGGTCTGAATCGCCTATTTTCGGCCGGAATCAGAAGTTGAAAATATCACCAGTCGATAGAACGCACCCGATTTATAAAGAAAATGTTTTTACTTTTTTGAAATAACGACTTTTTTAATTTTTAAATGGGTGGTACGGGTGGTCTGAAACACCTTGTATAATGTGTGTAAATCTAAATTTTACAAATTTACATACTTTGATTCAAGATGGGCGGTGCGGTAGCTCCAAGTTTAGTGAGACCTAACGCTACCGCGTTACTGGCGACAGCATCCATCGCTTGAATTTTCGCTGTTGCAGCTGCCGCGGCTACCGCAGCCGCAGTCGGCATCATGCTGGTACCGCTAGGTGGTCCCATAAGAGCGTTTGGTGGCGTTATAGCCCTGCCCACTCTCAGATATTGACCACCTAGGTCGAATAGATTCATGGAAGCAATAGCTTCTAATGCAGCTTGCATTGTCTCGTACTCGATGAATCCGTAACCCTTATGTCGATGCGGAGAACTACCTTGAGCAAGCTTACAATACGTGATCGGTCCAAATGCCTCGAAAACCGACTTAATGTCATCCTCGGTCAAATCTTGATGTATCGATGCGATATATATACGATTGTAATGTTTGCTCTCCTCGGTTATCTCATCGATCACCGATTGCGCTTGTGGCATATTAGATGGACGTCCTACAACCTAAGAAAATTATAAGCAATCTATAAGATATAATACTTTTATGTAACACCGTATTATTAGCACATTTGTGAATTTACTAAATATATAACATATAATAGAATATATGTGATGGGATAATTTATACAAAAAATAGAGATAAAATAAAATAAAATAATAAAAATAGAGATAAAATAATATAAAATAATAATAAGATAAAATAATATAATAATAACTTTACGAAATATAAATAGAGATATATATTATGATGAATAAATAAGATTTTCGAGCAAGCTACAACTCGCTCGAAAATCATATATATTGGATAAAGGACTAAATAAAAATTTGCCGACCTCCGGCGGGATGATAGGATTGCTGGGGGACAGGAAATTCGTTATATAGGTACGTCCCGCTACCTTGATGTTGCGGCCACCGATCATGACACCGTTCATTTGTTCCAATGCGAGTTGCGCAGCTTCAGGTATCTCGTATTCGACAAAAGCGAAGCCCTTGTGCTTCTGCGTAACGGGATCCCAAGACATATTGATGGACTTGATCGGTCCGAATGGCAAGAAAGCTTGCCTGATTGTGTCTTCTTTCAATTCAAAACTGATACTTCCCACATAAACCCTGTCACACAATTGTGTTTGTTATTAACATTACTTTTTTGACATAGCTGTATTTTTTCTTATTAGTAATGTAATTTATTTCAATCCAGATATCAATCACTCGCATCAAAATTATACAATGTATAAGTTTAAAAGTACATTTGACATATTATACATATATCTTAAATATTAAAAAATACACTTTAATTTATCCAATTGTTATAACTCGTATAGAAATAATATTAATGACTAATATTAATAGAAAATATCGTAAATAAAACGAACAAATATGTATAAAAAGAATGAATTTTATTATCTCTACTTTTTATTAAATTTATATTATTTATATTATTTTGTATAATATTTCCTTGTAAATAAATAAATAAATAAATATATATATATATATATATATATATATATATTCATAAAGAAATATTATGTACAAATTATAATTTTTTACGAATGATTGAAATCCTATTTTAAACAATGCAAGTGGATATCTTTGAAATTATTGATAATATTGAAAAATGTTTCAAACAAAAATTATAATTGTTTAAATATAAAATATGCAAGAATTATACAAATAAATACAATGTTACAATACGATCATAATGCAACAAAATTGTTAACAGAAATTAATACTGATGTAAAAATGAATAACATAGAATAATATCAAGTGACACATACACATACGCATACATATATGTACATATATATGAAAAAAAAATAAAAAACGACATATCTTTACTAGAATGCTTGATAGTGATGTAAATAAAATTAAAAGTTAAAAAAGAAACGAATTTTTGTACGTTTTTTAATATGATTAAAGATCTTAATGATACTAAAGTTAGAACAAAAGAGAAATCTAAAGATTAATCTTTAACATAATAGACTGTATTAATAGACTTAATCACTAAAAATATATATATAAGATAAAAAAAAATGTGTCTTAAAAATAATAAACTTTCTGAGTGTAATTCTGTTGGATAACGAGTCTTGCGCACAAAATTTTGAAGGCTAAGACAAAGAACAAACAAACCTGCACATGAGGGCGAGAGCCTGCTGTCTTTGCACCTGATTCCGTTGACTAGCCATTTGCTGTAACACAAAGGACCAGAGGCCTTCTATTGATATCCCTCCCCCATTTACATACATCATGTCTCATTGATTTTAAGTAAATCCTTCAAGCTCTTTTACCATTTCAACTTCTTTGCTCGATTTCTTCAATTATCAAATTTTATTAAAAGTACATAATAATATTCTTAAAATGTGCTATAAAAACATGTATATAATTTGGGATATATTTTAGGCCTCTATATAATTCTTTATGTCTTAGAGTACATTTTAAGTGGATATAAACTTCTATGATAACAAAAATAATTTAAAAGTTGCAGCATATAAATAAATCGTGTATGAGAATATTTCGTACAAATATATAAATTATAAAAGTTTAAGACAGAAACAGAAAGATAGATAGATAGATAGATAGATAGATAGATAGATTAGATAGATAGAGAGAAAGAGATAGAGATAGAGAGAGAGAGATAGAGATAGAGATAGAGATAGAGATAGATAGATAGAGATAGAGATAGAGAGAGAGAGAGAGAGAGAGATAGATAGATAGATAGATAGATAGATAGATAGATAGATAGATAGATAGATAGATAGAGAGAGAGAGAGAGAGAGAGAGAGAGAGAGAGAGAGAGAGAGAGAAATGGTAAAGTAAATTATCACTTAAAAATATACAAGATATTTCGAAGTTATCTCTGTTGCGCCTATCAAATTCTTTAAATGAAAGTATCTTAATCTTATTCTTCAAAGCAGAAGATAATCGAGCTCAGAAGTGCAAATTATCCGAAAATTCATGCATATTCACAAAAAAAACTTGTCTTCCTTCGCGTTGTACAGCTCTGCTCCCGCCGACTATTATTACAAGTTATCTAACCTTTTGTTATAGTAGAGCAACTCAGGGAAACGTTTAGGAATGATCGACCGTAAGGCGGATTTATTCGTTTCTTTCTTGATTTAGTTGACACTAACCTGCACATTAGCAATAAAACTTGCTGCCGCAGGACCAACTTATTCTTCTGTAGGAAGAAAAAATCAACCAATCAGAATTAGATTCCAATGTTCATTTCTTTAGTTTCTGACACGACTCGGCGGGATGAGCTATATATTTCAGAATCGTGTACGAAATTTCTTTGTGTTATAATTACATAAATTGGCAAAGAGCTGAACAGAGGAAAAAATTAATAATCAAAACATACAAACAATATTTAATTACTTATTTATATTTTTTTATGTTAAATTTAATCACCAAATTCGATAATGAATGTATTTCATTGCAATAAATAATCATCACGATAAATCAAAAGTTCAAATACATAGTATAATTAAGTGCTTTATTGCTAATTTATTGTTTAATCCCAAAATTTGTTTTAATTAATAATTAATAGAAAATTAATATTAAAGATAGTAACTGCTGACTTGCCTGCTGATGACTATATTGATTCATTATTTACTTTTATTTTATAATTCACTAAAAACATTTTCTGGAGATGTTAAATTAACAAAAATCAATAAATAGATTTGTAAGAAATTGTTTTAAAACATGTTTCAAAATAAAATATTGCCACTAATTAACAATATTTTAAAAGTCTATTTTGTACAATCTAATAATTTGTTCAAACTCCAATTGTTTCCCAATTTTAAATTTTATTTGTTCAAACTCCAATTGTTTCCCAATTTTAAATTTTAAAAATGAATTTGGTGATTCAATTATCTTACATAATTTATACACATATACATATTACTATGTATATATGTATCTCCATTATGTATTCTTATGTAATAAACAAAATATTTTAAACATTTATGATAGTTTGAGAATGTAAATAATTACATATTAAATGTAATTGTTTACAATTCCATCATCAAATCATAAAATATTACATTTCAAGAATAATATAACAGTATGAAATACATGAAATAGAAATATATATTGATATTTAAAAATTACCTGTTGCTGATGAGCCAATGTTTGCTTCATTAGGACCATCTTGATGCTTTGTTCCATTGCATACTTCTTTGCCCTGTTTACTGTATCCTGTTGTTCGGATGAGATTTTTGGTAAACCAGCTCCTAATATTCCAGGTAGTGTCAGATATTTAGCACCAGGTCCTGTAGAATGATAAAATGAAAAAGTCAGTTTGATCTTGGAGAAAATTCCAAATAACAATAAATATTTATTTGTGTCATCAGATCTTATCAGCAAAACGTCCATTATAAATCCGTGTCAATGCTCAATATTACTTAAATTGGACTGACTTAAAATATATAATGTCACTATTAATATGATACATCATATGTAGGCTTTTTTAACACAAAACGAATTAAATTAAATTAATGAAAAGATATATGTAAAGTAGTATATTATATACAGTATACATACCACCAATGACCTGACCTATTTGATTGATATCATATATGGGGCCTGGTAAGAACTCTGATGCATTCCCTACAAAGAAATCATATGTTAGATTGCTATTTTCGTATTACAGGAGATAAATATGTATTAAAAATATTCCAACATTTTATTTTGAGACATATAGAGATGCGCTACGCTAAGTTATTTCTTAATGATTCTTAATTAACGAATTAAGAATCGATTTTTCACTAGCAAATTTTTATCAGACGACTATTACATTTAAGAAATAAAATTTTATTTCTTCAGAATTTTATAGAATCCAATTTGAAAATGTATAATAATCAATGGAAAAAATAACTTTACGATTGCTAATATATAATTTTATTTATATAGTACTAATATTTTCACTTTATATAGGATTTCTATTTTATATGGAATAAAAATTGATCTTGTTCCGTTTCTTTTGGGAGGAAACATAAAATGTATACATTCAGGTAGCAATTAACGACCTATTGCCCTATTTCACTGTTAAGATCTAATAAGATCTTCCATTAATTAATTGCATAAGTGCGAGCGCATTATTCTTATTCATATCGTGGAATATCTTTTTCCTAACACGGAAGTACCGTGACGCCGTGCCAGAAGCTGCTATGATAAAACCGTCCTCCGAACTGTAAGTTCACAGAAATTAAAACGATCAAGGAATATATTACAACTCTGTTAATAAATATGGCTGTGTGTGTGTCAGTATGTTTGTGTAAATATATTATAGAGATACATGTATATGCAAAATATATACACATGAAAATCACGTATTTGTGCAAACATCGAAACGGAGAAATAAATTTCTCGTTTGATGCATGCTACTGGGAGAAACAAGCGGACGATAAGAATTATCAGACGGTATCGATTTAAAGAAATATTATTATATCAAATGGAAATAGCGAGTATTTAAATTCCTGATCTTGTACAACAGACAAAAACGATTATCATAATAGATTATATCTTAAAACCGTTTATCTGTCGAGTGATTAATCTGGATAAAAATTATTTAGGCCGAGAAATATTATGTATTAAATTTAAGCTTTAATTACTGTTTGCACAATCAGCCCCAAAAATCAGATTTACTCATAATTAGATTAGGTATCTTAACCAATTTGGTCTGCTAGTCTCTGAAACAGAAATCAGAAACAGAAAACAGAAGTCGGTTTGACTCTTTAAAAAGTGAATTAAAGGATTCCTAAAGTTTCGTTTCATTCGATTTACAGCTAACCGTGTTCTGGGCTGAGCAATGACGGTTGTGCGCAAATTATCCGAGATTGAGGCGACGCACAAATCTGTAAGCACAAAGCAAAGGAGAATACTCTCAGTGCATTTTCTGCGCCATATTCTTAGTCTTTGCCTTCTCCAACCTAGCATTTCTCAACCTAACACACCTTTTCATGTAGCAATGGCGAGATCACAATGAAAATCACAGGCGCGTGACATTTTTTTTCCACAGCTAATATTTAGGGTGCGACTAGATAAAAAAAATTTGCAGTAACGTTGAAGAAAATTATATCACATATATATAATTCCAGGATCATCATTTTTCATCTAGCGTAATCATCACTCGGACATCGTTATAATGTGCCTCGAAATAGCGCTTAACAACGGCAGAAAATGCGAAGACGAAGATGCATGAAATCGGCGAGCGTGGATGTAATGTAATATTTGTCTGGTCACATTGAGAGAAATTCAATTAGACGACTCTTTAAGCGACATCGAAGGCTATATCGACGTCCAAGTGCTAAAACTTATCGCGATTTCATTACCTAATATAAATATAAATATGTGACATATAGCAAATATACACTTCGCCATTGCCACTCCCGATTACGAGCCTCTAAATACTCGAAATTTTGTAGATAAAGATATTATTGTTTTGATAATAGTAATTTTGTATAATAAATATACGTATCAAAACGTAATATCTTCGAATTTACATAAATTTTGCCAAATTGTCAATCAATAAGATGATTATACATCATTGTTCATTCGCAACACAAAGTTAAATTAATCCCTATTTGTGGAAGAGACTCATTATCAGGACTGAAGAAACTCTAAACCCTAAAATGCTGACCTATCTAAAGTATGCATCGTATTTGGTACTCGGCAATAGATGCAGTATCAGTGGGAGTTTGTTAAACTCTGATTTGTTCTGTTCAACGAATGTAGTTTCTCTTTCTTTGTTTGGCGCACGCTCATGATCACAGTCGAGTTGTAGGCCACGGATTCTGTACTGTCTCTCCGCTGTAACATCTCAGAACAGAAGGACAACCATACATTAGTGTGATTTAAGCGCCATACAGTCATCATCTATTACCCTAGCCTACCGAAATTTATGCTCAAACTGCTTCTCAATAGATGCATTCTGCAGTTTTACAGAGTCTGGCAGCATTTTAAGAGAAAACTAGCACCCGAGTGTCCTAAGTAAAGTAACTATGTATTTCCATATCATGTTCTTGTTCTTAATATACACACATTACACTCGCTGTTGTTGTTGTATTCATTGTGTTTCCCACTTAGCACAGAATTGTGTATAATATTTTAGTTGTTACAGGCATAACGGCTATCTGGCTGCGTTAGCAATTTACCTTCTACTTTGCTCTTCTTCGTCGGTGGTTCCATACTGTTTTGCGATGCTGGTGCCTACAAAAACAAAAAAGAAAAATGAGTCCAACAGCAAGTATAAAAAATATATAAAAATATAAAAAATATATAAGTATAAAAGTATATATATATATATATATATATATATATATATATAAGTATATAAGTATATATAAGTAATATATATATAAGTATATATAAGTAAGTATAATATATATATAAGTATATATAAGTATATAAGTATAAATATATATAAAATATATATTTTTATATTTAGAGCATATTTTTAGAGTCTATCTACGGGGAATGTTTATCGACATAATTATATATAACGGTGATATAATGTTTTCAAAAATACTTATTTTTATGCAAGAGGAATATATTTTTATATAAAAATATATAAAAATAAATAAAAATATATAAATATGTGAATAGAAATGTTATTCAGAAATTGATAAAGGTATTATTATGTGTAACATAAATAAATAAAAAAAAAAAGGAACTCCCCCAATTTAAAAAAATATATAAATATATAAATATTGAAAAATTGTTGCATATTATTTATTATATACTAGAATTCCTCGTGTATATCATGAGAATTAATGTGAACGAAAAACAGTATGAGATCAATAGCATCATTCATTGATCTGTCAATCTCGCAAAACAGACACATCGTTTCATTTTTTTTACGGAATATTTGCTCGACAATCGATCGCTTGATCTCAATATTTACGGATTAATACGATGCAAACGATGATTACGACCGCTACGGATCGCACGTTGGAAAATGTAACTTCACGATCGCCATTGTATACCGCTGCCTAAGGGTTAGCCGCGAACGCGACGCGCGACGAGAGTCAATAACTGTCACGAGACTCGACTCACGCGAGATCCCACTCACCATGGCCATCGTTCCGTTCATCGTTCTTGCGTGAAGCGGATGCGATATTCTGGGATCTCGCAGGAATTCTCGAGCAGAGACACAGCTGCACGACCCACAAACCACTCACAATCGATATACTTCTTTGCGGAAGTCGCTCTCCGCCAGAAGCGCTTCGCTTCCCGTTTTAGAGTCTATCTACGGGGAATGTTTATCGACATAATTATAAGTAACGGTGATACAATATCATTAAAAATACCTATTTTTATGCGAGAGGAATATATATAGATATAGCTAGAAATTTTGCTCCTTCCTTCTTTTAATTAGAGAGACGATTCGACTCCGGTGGTACATTCGTGACAGCTTTCGCAGGAGCGTTGACATGTGTCGTGTGGGTTAGGTTAGGTTTTAAATGAATTTTGCTGATTTTTCTTTATTAAGGAATTGACGATAATTATGGAGAATAACGACTTTTTTATCAAAATAGTAAACAACGAGAAGGTAAATTATGTCTTCAATTGTTTACCGCTGACGGCTAATTGTGAATTTTTTTTTTATACATCTAATCAAGATCTCACTCTGCCACCTGTATTGTAATTGATATATATTTAATATCATTAATATAGTATAATTTAATAATTATAATTTGAAATATTATAATGTGAATATTAATTTTTATATTTTTATATTAAAAGGGTAAAGGGCTATTCTCTAATCGTGTATTATATCTAATCAAAATCCCATTCTGCCACTTGTATTAGTTGTAATTGATATATATTTGATATCATTAATATAGTATAATTTAATAATTATAATATGAAATATTATAATATGAATATTAATTTTTATATTTTTATATTAAAAGGGTAAAGGGCTGTTCTCTAATCGTGTATTATATCTAATCAAAATCCCATTCTGCCACTTGTATTAGTTGTAATTGATATATATTTGATATCATTAATATAGTATAATTTAATAATTATAATATGAAATATAATGTGAATATTAATTTTTATATTTTTATATTAAAAGGGTAAAGGACTGTTCTCTAATCGTATATTTAAGGAGGGAGATATCATACTTGAAGAGAAACCCATAGTCTGCTGTCAATTTTCATGGAACTCCGACTATGGATACTTAGCATGCGATCATTGTTTGAGACCTTTAGAAACCGCTCAGGAAAATGCTCAGAGATTAACGGGAAATCCAAACTTGTTTCTACCATACAGCGAATGTTGTGAAACAAATAAAAACTTAATGACTGAATGTCCTGCTTGTGGAGCAAAGTATTGTAGCATAGAATGTCAAAATGAAGCATTTCAAAGGTGATTATATTAGATGGTAATTTTTAGATTATAAATTATAATTTTAAATGATGAATTATAGATTATAATTTTTATTATAGCTTTCATTATGCATATGTCACACGTATGTATTGTACCCATATTTTAGATATCACAGCATATTATGCTTGCAATCAAGAATGAAGGATGAGAGCCATTCTCTTACACAATTAAATGAAACATGGAAACAGATGCATTATCCACCAGAAACTGCAACAATTATGTTACTGGCTAGAATGGTTGCCTTGGTTAATCAAGCAAATAATAAGCAGGATGTTTTATCAATCTTTTCACAGTTTTGTCACCGTACTACAAATGACACGCACGAAATTGCGCACAATCTGTTGGGAGAGAAATTTGTGGGCCAGATTGATGTCCTGCGGCAAATGATGCAGACTGCTCTTAATACCGAGTATACTGCACATGTATGTAAAAAAGTAAATATTTTTTATATATATTTTTATATATATCAATTAATTCTATATGGTTTCCAGTGGTTTACTCCAGATGGTTTTAGAAGCTTATTAGCTTTAGTAGGAACAAATGGACAAGGTATCGGTACCAGTGCATTCAGCCGCTGGGTAAAGAATGTTTCTGCATTAGACTTGCCTAAGGATCAAAGAATTTACATTGACAAACTAATAAATAGAATCTATGATGACATGGAGGAAGGTGATTTGCAATATTTTATTCAAAATATCCTACATTCTGATAAATGTATTCTGATAATTATATAACTTGAGATTTTCTTTTGCAGTGGTAGGTTCGTTTTTAAACAATGAAGGATCTGGTCTTTACATTCTACAATCATCAGTGAATCATAGCTGTACACCAAATGCAATTGCCGAGTTTCCTTATTCAAATAATACTTTGGTATTAAAAGCAATACGTGATATACAAGTTGGTGAGGAAATCTGTACAAGTTATCTTGATGAATGTGAGCTCGAAAGAAGTAGATATTCCAGACAAAAGGCATTAAGCTCTTTATATTTGTTTGTTTGTCATTGCGACAAATGCCAAGCGCAAATTAATGATCCTAATGTAACATCTGATGAAGAACTAGATGATGATGATGTGTCTAGTTGAACAAATGCAGAGAGAACAATACACAATATTAGATATATATGTTGAATATATCTAATATATCTAACATACTACAAAAGGGGAAACTACATCCACACAATTATCTAACAATTATATTGATCATATATTACTTGGATATCATATGTATAACACATCAAGTGAGCATTATGTAAATCAATATATAAGATAAACATACAAATAATAAACTTGAATAAAGTTTCAACAAACATACTTTAGTCTCATATAACAAACTTTAATGGCATTTTTATATTATACTATATTATAATATTGAAAAATTTAATACAGTGCTTTTCATTTTTCTTTTACCTTTTCTAACTTAAATTTTAATTATTAAATTTCTTTTTACAATTACATTATTACAAATTATTTTACACAAATTTATATTATATATATAGATATGTTAAAACATGTTATTTATGTATGTACAATTATATAACTGTTTTACACATAATTGCACATACAATCATGTCTCTCAATTTGAACGTTTACATATTGCAATTTTGGAAGTTTCTAGAAAATTAATATTTTTTTACAATAGTTTGTACAAGCACTGCATATGCACAGCATTAAATATTTATTTATTTTTTTCATTGTCCTAAGGATTTGTTTATGTAAAATCGTATCAGCCAGTCTGAAGTTTTAATTCGTTTTTTCCAAGTGTCATGAGATTGGACACATAGTCAGGTAATGGTAATGGAATTATACGTTTTTCTATTAAACTAGTCAAGAATCTAGCTATATTGTGACTACGAAACTCCCAACTAAAAAAGAAAAAAATTATCAATGAGACTATACAAATTTTAATTTTGAATATGTATAGAAAAATATTCTTACTTCATATGTATATTATCATTAGGTATATTGAAGCTACAGCTTCGTGTTTTATAGATTCCTCTGGTCCGTTTATAACAAGTTTACCTTTTCTAATGTTAATTCTTAATTTATGTAGAATGTTCTTTAGGTATACAATTACTATTATTAGCTAAATTATTTTAACCAACAAATTTTCATATTTATATATATAGATATGTTAAACATGTTATTTATGTATGACAATTATATAACTGTTTTACACATAATTGCACATACAATCATGTCTCCAATTTGAACGTTTACATATTGCAATTTTGGAAGTTTCTAGAAAATTAATATTTTTTTACAATAGTTTGTACAAGCACTGCATATGCACAGCATTAAATATTTATTTATTTTTTTCATTGTCCTAAGGATTTGTTTATGTAAAATCGTATCAGCCAGTCTGAAGTTTTAATTCGTTTTTTCCAAGTGTCATGAGATTGGACACATAGTCAGGTAATGGTAATGGAATTATACGTTTTTCTATTAAACTAGTCAAGAATCTAGCTATATTGTGACTACGAAACTCCCAACTAAAAAAGAAAAAAAATTATCAATGAGACTATACAAATTTTAATTTTGAATATGTATAGAAAAATATTCTTACTTCATATGTATATTATCATTAGGTAATATTGAAGCTACAGCTTCGTGTTTTATAGATTCCTCTGGTCCGTTTATAACAAGTAATTCTAAAGTTGGAGGATCTTTAGGAAAATACTTTTCTGCATAATTTTTCCGCTGTTTATTTTGTGTATAATCTATACCATTATTACTGTAATAAGATATGTATCATTTAGAAAGCATAATATGTCCAAATACAAAGTATTTTGCAATATGTCTATATATATATATATAATATATATATAATATATATATATATATATAATATTGCATACAAGTATAATTATTAAAGTGAAAAGAAAAAATATAGTTTTGATTATTACCTGATGACAGGAACAGATGGTTCATAAACTGTTGGTTGATGAATATCTTCAGCAAGTAAAGTGCCTTGTTGTTTGTTCCATAATAATCTTATTAAAGATCTAAGATCTTTACCCATAAGCTTAATCTTTTTGATATTATTATAACCAAGAGCATCAGCCATACATTTTATAAAATCATGTGAAATATTCTTTTTTGAGCAGAAAAGATATTTATGTCCCATAAATAAAGCAAAAAAGATAGGCATGGTATGTTGTACTCTCTTCTTTTTACTCTTCTCCTTAATATTTACAAATGTGATGTTGTCATATATTGCAACTTTTACATCTATATTAAAACCATTTGATTGAAATTCTTCTATTATTTCTTCTTGCATCCGTCGTCTTTCAAGGTAATTTAATGCTTTGCCTGTACCTTTTAATTCATAAGTATACCATACCTTTCTTTTGTCATGTCTACTTATATCTAAAAAATTGTACATTATTTTATATGTTACAATAAAATATCATGAATTCATTAACATTTAACATGAATCAAATAGAGACAACATTTAAAACTTATTTTACCTATTACTTCTAATGTTGTCAGTCTATTACGCAAGTCTTTCTCTCCTAAATTTGCATCCTACAAACGAGCCACATTAGAATAACATTACGACAGTGAATTTTACAAAATAAAATATATCAAAAATTCTTACATTAAGAATTTCTTCGATAACGCGTACAGCATTATTAACAGTGAATGTTTTGTGATTTTTAATTAATTTAGTTCTGACATGACCCCAAGATATTTCTGGAAAAATGGGTATCACGCTGCTTTCTAATTCTTCGAATTTGAACCTTTTTATCACATTGATTAGTCGATGTTTAATTAATCTTGATGCTGCCATATTTAAATAAAATCCGTTATCAATTTCAATACTAAGAATATAACCTCCAAAATATTTTTCGATCTCTAACTGCTCGTCTTACGATTCACATTTATTCATAGTTACTACTATAAATAATATCCATATAGAATTATTGTCAATATAATACAATTACATGAAAAGTCTAAGCACTTTTTAAGTCAACAAATTAATATTTTTTGATTCAGGATAAACATTCGTTACAAATACGCGCCAAATGTGATTCGAACGAGAAATATATATGGCCTATGTTCCAAAATTCATTGCCAGCGCTGAAAATATAAGGAGCGTCCCATTTGACCACAGCCAATTATATCGACCTGTGCCTAGAGTAACCAGCAACGATTAACCAATCAGAGAGTCCTATTTTAAATTGGCCAATTGGCGACGTGGTCAATCGGGTGCCACCCAAAATATATAATATACGTAACGTGAACTATAAATTTTCAGCGCTGGCAGTGAATTTTGGAACACACCCATGGTATGTTGAATATTTTGAAATGTTTGTCTGACCAATCAGAAAAGAGAAATGTTTGCCCCTTTCATTTTGATCAACCAAACGATTCTTTCTCATCTTAGGCCGGGTCTACAATAGGTAATTTAAGCCTTATGAGATTGACCAACACACTCACAGTCAGGTATGAAGAGAATACTCGGTTATGATTAGTAAATTTCTTCTTTCTTTTTCTTTGAAGACGTTGAGGATGCTTTGAAGCGTTTGACCAATCAGGTTGAAGAAATTTTATTCCCTCTATCCTGATTGGTCGATCAAACGCTTTAAAGCATCCCTAGCGTCTCCCCGAGCCTTAATAAAAAATGCATAAATATTTAAACATTGTATTCCGAATTTGACTCCGAAATTTTATGAGTTTTATTGGTGTGTGTGTGTATGTGTGTGCGTGCGTGCGTGCGGGTGCGTGCGTGCGTGCGGTGCGTGGTGGGTGGTGCGTGCGTGGGCGTGCGTGCGTGCGTGCGTGCGTGGCGGTGCGTGCGTGCGTGGTGCGTGCGTGCGTGTGCGTGCGTGCGTGCGTGCGTGCCGTGCGTGCGTGCGTGCGTGGCGTGCGTGGCGTGCGTGCCGTGCGTGCGTGGCGTGCGTGGCGGTGCGTGCGTGGCGTGCGTGCGTGCGTGGCGTGCGTGCGTGCGTGCGTGCGTGCGTGCGTGCGTGGCGTGCGTGGCGGTGGCGTTGCGTGCGTGCGTGCGTGCGTGCGTGCGTGCGTGGCGGTGGCGTGCGTGCGTGCGTGCGTGCGTGGCGGTGCGTGCGTGCGTGCGTGCGTGCGTGCGTGTGTGTGTGTGTGGTGTGTGTGTGTGTGTGTGTGGTGTGTGTGAAACAGCCAGTTCAGTTTATAAAGAACAGATCTATTTCTTTTGTTTTGGTTAAAAAAAAATTCAATTTTTATTTTTGACAGAATCTTATAGTTTAAGATTTTAAAAATACTTTTGTAAAATTTCAAGTTGAAATTCGTTAAATCGCCAAAATTATAAATCGTAAACTGACTCGGCGCATAGCTATATTTTGGAGCGCATGGTAATTGTTGAGCTTTCTTTGTGTGTTGGCTCAGCGCTGTTATATTATTTGAAAAATATTTGACAAAGAATTCTAATTGGCTTCTGTTTTTCAAGGTATGAATGCGCCCTAAAGGCCTTTGCACGTACAAAAATTTTAGTCGTAACCGTAAGGTCACGTAAGAAAAACTAGTCAAGTCGTAACCGTAAGGTCATAAGAAAACTGACAAATCATAGTCGAGTATTCTTTCTGCGATAAAAGAATAATCAACTGTGATTGGTCAGTTTTCTTACGACCTTCAGGTGCAATTTCATTGACGCTAAAAAGTAGCGTCAATGAAATTGCACCTTTAAGGTGCGGCCTCATTGACGCTAAAAAGTAGCGTCAACCATTGGTTGAACAAGGAGGTAAGTATAGTTGCTTCATTGTTCAACCAATGGTTGACGCTACTTTTTAGCGTCAATGAGGCCGCATCTTTAAGGTGGAATTTCATTGACGCTAAAAAGTAGCGTCAACCATTGGTTGAACAAAGAAGTAAGTAGTTGCTTCTTTGTTCAACCAATGGTTGACGCTACTTTTTAACGTCAATGAAATTGCATCTTTAAAGGCCGCAGCACACACTTTTGCATAAACGCATAACCATAAGCATAAGAAAATTGATTGGTTCATTTTCTTATGCATATACTTGGGGACCAATCAATTTCCTTATGCTTATGGTATGCGTAGAGAACCTCTAGGAGAGAGAATGGACAACTGATCAAGCTTTTTCATGATTGGCTGGCAGAAAATGTATCAATTTTAGCTATTGCGACGCCAATGCAAAATATGATGACACACAAATAGGTTAATATATGTGTGTCATGTGTGTCCTATTTGTGTGTCATCATATTTTGCATTGGCGTCGCAATAGCTAAAATTGATACATTTTCTGCCAGCCAATCATGAAAAAGCTTGATCACATGTCACATGATCAGTTGTCCATTCTCTCTCCTAGAGGTTCTCTAGTTATGCGCTTATGCCAAAGTGTGTGCTGCGGCCTTTAAGCCTCGACGTTGATTTGTCAGTAGAACTAATTACATTCGGTACTCTTGTGATACAAGTATTAATCAGTGTAAACTAAGTCAATGTATCAAATAGTCAAAAGTATTATATAGTATGTAATTGTGTAAATTCCATAGGCTTAGAGATGTCAAAAGGTCTACGTGGAGCTAGTCGACAAAAGTTATTAAATTTTATTATTTTTGGTATATTTGTAAATCAAAAATGATATTCTAATTTTCACAATTATGGTTATAAAAAAATTTGTTTATTTAAAAGTGATTGATATCATAAATAAAACAAAATTATTAATTTTAAAAAATCGATTTATCACAAACAAATTTTTCAAAAAACAGATTATTTATCCGAAACACATTCAGAAAAGTTAAAAATAAATTTAATAATATCTATCGACTAGCTTCATTTAAAGTTAGCTTTTTCATTTCATTTAATTTAGATTTGTCGAAGATCATTATTAATATCTTCGAGTGAAGCAACAAGTTGGATTGCTCTGAGATTAATGATGTAAACTTTATATTCAATAAAATACTTGAAGCGTTTAATTGATTAATTAAAGCAAAAAAATCTTGTTTTTAAGCTTAATTTTAAAGCTAAAATACTTGAAATTAAAATAGCATTAAACAGATTGTATTTTACATTATTTATATTAATCAAAGTTATAAATAATATTAATTAATTATAATAAAATTTAAAATCTATTTTTAATTAAACGTATTTATAATAAATTTAATTTAATCGCTCTCAAAGCGATTAAACCTGCTTCACTCGAAAACATATATGATTTTTTATCTTATTATTCTTATTACTATCTTATAATATCTTATGTTATTACTTCTTGCATCTTTCTTTACAATGTTCTTTACAATGTTCTTTACATTGTATATACATGTGTAGGTATTCGTGTGGAGCAGACATAACGTGAGAGATGCAAATCATCATTGACAATGAGGAAATTGTGCTGCAGCATTTTATTGTATGCGAATTTTATGACATGGAGACATGTTTCTGTTGGAACGAAAGTGACAAACTCGTCGTCTTCCCGTACAGGAGAGGCAGTTCGGTAGCACGGAATGTGCGTGTTCTGTCGATGCCAGGTCCTCTCAGAAAGATCAGGATTATCGACAGTAGAGCCTTCTTCATATGTGTTTCACAGGGAGTTTATAAGCTGTCACGTACTGGCAAATTTGCTCTCCTGAGCAAAAATGGTCTGGACATGGGCAGTGAGTTCTTTCAAGTGCTAATTGCCAAAGGTGAGCCGAACGGCGTGCATCTCGACGACAAACAAGTTAAATCCTCCACGTTGCTGTTTCCCATTACGTCGAATGCGTCTGAAAAGGATGTGCGTGCCTTTTCTCTAAACTTGAAGGACACCGAGATGCAATTCATAAATTGTTTCACTACTGATTCTGAAAGAAAGAGGAATATATGCGTAATCGCATATGATAGAAAGTTGTTTGTGTTAAAGGAAGACAATATCGTGCAATTAATTTATACCAGCGACCGTGCCATCGTAGATATTGTGCCTGTAAAGAGGCGAGACAAGGTAGCAGGTCTCTTGCTTCTCATAGATGTAGATATGGTAATCTTAGTGTACAGTAAAGATTATAATCTAGTCTTTGATAAGATATATCTAGTAAAGAACATGAGAAATATTTCTGCATTTTGTGCCTGCTTTAGTGTGGAAATTGAAAATGTTTTATGGATAATATATTGTGATCAATCCAAGACGTATTATATGAGAAAGAAACTTTTTGCTGACTCAATTCAAGAGACAAAAGTGGAGGAAAGGACATTTAGATGTATACAGTATTATAAGCCAAATATAATTTTAGGTCTGTCACAAGAGAAGAAATTAATTGAGCTTTCTCTCGAAGAGCTGGAGAATTCCTTATCGCTTAATAATGATATCAATCTTCACAGTGATATGTTCCAAAGAACGGATCTCATTATGGAGAAAATTTGTGCCAAAGGAAAGGAATTAAATATGCTCAATGAGAGTATAATGGATGAACGAGACAATTTAAAAAGAATAAATTTATATGTTTCCAAACAAAAACTTCCAGTAACTCCTTACATTGAAGTATCCAGACTATGCACTTATCACTACCTTCAATTAAAGATTTTAGACAAACTGCCTAGAAACAGTCATATAATAGTTATTATTAATTCCAAGAATCAAAGCACATTCTGCATGAAAAAAATTACAGAAACAACATTTACTCTAAAAATGCCTATTAATGGAAACAGAATACTGTGTTCTTCAAATATTCATATGGATTTGATTACATGGATGAATAAACAACAGCCCTGGTGTCTTATACAAAATTTTATATATTCTCCAGCACAAGAAGTCAAAAGAAAAAGAAGAATAAAAGATAAAACTGCCTTCATAGAAACAAAAATTGCATCATTGCAAAAATTAATAGCGGAAAAAGATTTGAGCATGACAAAATTAAGTGAAATAAAACGAAATATACGAGCAGAATTATAATTTTTCTTTTTAATTAAAAAAAATTTATGAAATTTTGTGATATAGATGATATTTGTTTATAAGATGTATTTCTATCATATAAGATTTAAGAGATATTTGTTGTACTTATTTTTTGTTATTGTATCTCAGAAAATAGGCTAATTATTATTTTTTTTTTAACTAAAGTTCTACAGATTAGTAATATTTTATTATTTTAAAGATTCGATAAATAATACTATCGGGTTTTGCCCGATAAAAATTTTTTATTTTTTTATTTCTTCTATATATCTCTTATGCAAAGATATTTGCATTGTAAATGCCTTTATATGTAGATATGCTTTTGAATAAATCTTTTTTATCTATCTTCAAAAAACAATTATATATACATAACACACACATATACACACGCATATATATATATATATATATATATATATATATATATATATATATGTATGTATGTATAAAATATTAAAAATTTTTTATATTGTAATTTTCATAAAAATATAAAAATGTTTGAAAGATTGTGTAAAGAAAACCAAATATATTTTTATAATAAATGTAAGATTTAATTTACATTTTATAAAGATAATATAATCAAAGGAAGAGCGCATATATATAATGAGTTCTCTCATATATCACATATTAGATTCGGTCTCTTTATTATTCAATTCGCAATGTTTATGTAAATGTAACTAATCTTTAATATTCTACCAATGAGCTATAATAATTTTCAATGGTTTACTTATGAAAACAAATATAGGAATCTAATTAACAATCACAACGTACCAGATATATGGCACAATAAGTTTGTAATCATTACTTAAAAATGATAGACATGACAAATCTCAATAAATACGATGGAAAAATGAGGAACGTACATGTTAACATGACTTTATATTCGCTATATTATGTACACTATGTAAATCATCTCAATAAAAAATGTCATGTTTATATTCATCCTTCATGTTATAATTTTAACAGTTTATTGTAATATATCTAGATCTACTACTCTACAATAGAATGTTTTGCATATTGAGGGAAAGGGGAAGAGGTTTGAAATATATTTCTTCCCCACATAATATTTCTGGTCAGATTTTTAGACAGTACAAAATATATATATATACTATATATAATATTCATCGCAATTCTTATTAATTTTTTCATAAGTACTTTGATTAATAATCTACAAGAACAATGTCAGGTAACCATTTTCTAATTTGATATATTCTATAGAATTGAAGCCAAATGTTAAATTTGATTCACATTATATGACAGCAAAAAAATTTTTTTTAAATATAAATTGCTTTTTACATGTTCTATATATAAATATTTAAATTATATACGTAAATATATTTATTATAGAAATTATTTGTGCCATGTCATATAATGTGAAAATAAATCTTTATTTATTGGAATTGGCTTTCAGATTTGGGTCTGGTAAATTCTTTCTTATCTAATTCTAATCGTGAACATTTCAGTTTGCTTCATCAGCAAAAAACAACATAATAATTAACAAGGAAAAGTATGGAGCATCCTCTACTGATTTTGATAAGCTTTAGATATGTTGTAGTTTAGGGTTAAAATAAGAGATGTATTTTTTTATGCATGCCCATATATCCATTAAAGCTGTGAAACACTCCTTTGGAAAAAAAGTTTCCATATTTCTAAGCGAATATCATCGAAATGATAAGATACAAAAAAAAGTTTCGAATAAAAATTTTATAACATTTATAACATATTTAACAATAATAATTTAATTTCTCAAAAATATATTTTTCGAAATCTCTTTCCTCTAGTTTTCGAAAAATTTGATAGCATTACCATAAAATACACTAAGAACATATATTTAGAAAAATATTAAACTTTAATATCATTTTTTTCCAAGGGAGTGTTTTACTCCCTTAATGACCATATAGACACCTACAAAAAATATGTGTTTCTTATTTTGATCTAAACTACAACATAAAAAACTCATCAAAATCAGATGGAAATACTTTCCTATAAGTTATTCCTTAATAGGCATATCTTTATATAATGATTGATCAAGAAGGGAGCGAGAGAGAGTTGGAGAATAAAACCGGACCCAAACTCGAAAGACAATCCTAATATTCATATTGCGAAATCTCAAATATTAATCCTTTATTTTTTGTTAAGTATTTTAATATAGAAATCATTCATAATTAGCAAACGTAGACTACACAGAGAAATACTTCAAGTTGTTTTTTGCTCCTTATATTATAATTACTTCCTCTATATATTCTAGGTTCACTAATTTAGAATTCTTTTATATGTACATGAAAAAATTTGTTTTTTTGAAAAATGTTTTATGCTGAATAATTACAATATTATTACATATTAATCTCGATGTATCTACAATATATGTCAAAAGTAATCAATTAACAATATTAATTGTACATTTTCATTGAAATAATGTATAAAACAAAATAACAGTTTAAAAAAATTAGATTTCTGAAAAAATATTAACAATATTAGAGAATGTCTCATACTCTTATTATATTTAAAATGATAAAAATACCAGACAGTTATACAATAGAAAGCAATTTTTTTTAAATTTTACATGTTATCAAAATTTCAAGAAATTATACTCTCTGTTAGAAAAATTCTATCTTTAAATAAATTATTCTTTAATAAATATTTAATCTATTTTTTATTTGTATCATCACTGAATATTAATTTTAAATAATAAATATCGTGACAACATTTAACTGCAAATTAAGTACTTGAGCGACAAAGTTTGTTGGATATTAACAGAAAGAGAAAGATAATTCTGTTTCCTATGTATAGTTATGAGATATTCGATTTTTGTAATTTAATTAATTATTGATATTACATGTAATTTGTTAATTGAAACGATTTAATTATCTCATAATTAAATTTTTATTAAAACTCAGAAGAGAGAATAGTAATATACGAGTATATGATTGCGCTAGTGGAGTGATAGGAATGTAACTATTTAATGCATTAAAATTTTAGTTTCTTGAAAGAAAAAAAAAGAAAAAAGCAATACTCTTAATAAAATTAATTTAAGCACACAACAATAGTACCGATTTAGGAAATTTCTTAAGGCACATAATAAAAGTACAAGTAATTATATGAAGTACCAAGCCTTTTTCTCACTGCTATTTACTAATTGGGCTATTTTAATCTATCATATATTTAAATTCACATACAACCCAAGAAATGTAAGTAATCAGAGTCTCTGTTTTTTAGAGAAAAATAATATTTGAATGATATATATATATATATATACTAATCTTTTCAAACTCCTTCATTTGTACTTTTACTAATATATGTGTGTGTGTGTGTGTGTATACACGCACACAAACACATATACATACGTACACATAGCGATTCGATTGCATATGTATGTGTGGATGTGTGGGGGTAATTTTATATATTACTGTTCTATATGGTAATGAATTTTCGTACTAAAATATATTCAAAATAATGTCAAGGCATTATTACTACAGCATAGTTTTCATTTTTTTCTGAATTAGTTAAAAACTGTACCCGCAATTTGCCATTATTTCTTCATGTTGAGACATGTCATTTTCTATGGCATACAATATATAGTATATAATGTGATCTGTGTGTGTGTGTGTGTGTGTGAGTGTGTGTGAAACACATTTTAGAAGAGAAATACATTTAGAAATATAAAAAACAAGAACAAATATTAATATATTTTAATATATAAATATTAATATATTTATGCAAAATGGGAGCAATTTTTTCATTTGAAGGTAGAATCAGCATATAATTCAAATAATTTTTCTATGAGTTAATTTTTTGCACATTTAAATAACTTGATGGAGTCTGTGTAATCATGATTGTATCTTAATTTTATCATAAATAATTAAATGCTATTAACAATTATCTATTGACTGCTATTGACAACAATCGATCATGTATTCTTTTGATCTTTTTTGTATATAAATTATTACACTAAAATAATTTATATAAAAATGTATCTAGGAATAAAATAACAACTTATAAAAGGCACATGGGTACAGCTTTTAAGCTAATCGTTAAAAATATGAAATTTCTCCTCTTTTATAATAAATATCTAAATAATTCGTGAAGTACCTAGTGTCACAGTAGCAATATGTGTCATGCCAGCATGTTTCGCTCTGTGTCGCTCGATGTTCTTAATGTTATCGATTTCGCCGACAGAATCGTATATCGTCGGCCATTCTGCAAACGTTAAGAGTGATCCTGCTTAGGCAAAAGATTTGTCCGTTCCTCATTGTCGTTTACTCTTTTGGTACTGGACAACAATCGTGCGGCTTCAGACTGTCGGTTGATAATGTCCATATCCAGCATGTTTAAAGAATCGCGTTTGGCCTGAGTTTCCATTGGACTCGTTTGGATCTTAAAAATATAACAAATGATATATAAGTATATTGAAACGAAATTGTCTATCTAAATAATAAAATAAATTTATATATTAAATATAATATAAATTTTAAATTTAAATATTAAATTTACAATTTATATATAAATTTATAAATTTTAAATTTATATATTAAATATATAAAATAAATTTATATATTTCGTTATACAAAGATATTAAAAATATATTTTAAAAAATTATTAAATGTATATATATATATATATATTTTTTTTTTTATATAACTTAATTTAATTATTATATAATATAATTTATATAGTTTTTATAGTTTTAATGTAATTAAATTTTTTTATTTATGTGTATGTAGAAACCTTTGCTGATAAATTTTTCGTTTTTCCGTCATTTCGCGGTGAGGTAAATTTCGAATTGGTGATTGGACTGGCGCTAACTGGAATTGGCGATGTGGGCGCTGTTGCGCTGCGTACAGGTGAATGAATCAAAATATCCTTTGCTTTCTCGTTTTCCACGAGTTTGTCCATAGGCAACACCGGAGACTCAGGTACACTACGATCGTCTTCCTCCAAAGAATGCAGCAACTGTAAGTTAATTTAGAATTATTTTTGTTATTTGTCTAATACGTACAGTCGACAAAAAGTTGCGTGTGACAAATTTATATAATCTTTTTATTGTTTTTATAGAAATTACAACCTTCTCTACTTCATCATCGAATTGTTCTTGAGTAGGCAATGGATCTTTTTGCCTTTTTTCCAAAAGTGTAGCGCGCTTCGCAGCAAGATACAAAGATCTTTTGACTTTTACATAAAATACCTCGGTCACTGCACGCACTGTATAGTCTGGTATAAAAGTATGACGCAGCATAGAATCTAGATTAACAGATTGAATGCTACCGACTGTTTGTGGATTTGCATTCGTGGGTGATTCGGCTAGACAACAAAATTCAAACATTCTTGTTTAATTCGATAAACGTAGAATATTTTAATTTAAGACATTTTTCATTCTTACCAATTCCAATGTTAGCGGTAAGAGCTTGCGATCCGAAATATGTAAAAGGACCACTTTCAAACATCATATTTTCTTTGCCAACTGTCACTTCGACACGACCTTCCAAAATTAATACAAAGTAATCGACAGCTTTTCCTTGTTGGTAGATTATTGCAGTAGGATCACTTTTGGCTTTTTCACGCGATTTTACCTTAATATGATAAATAATATCTTGCTTCAATAAACGTCGCAGAATCGGTTCCGATATAATATCTGATTTAAACGTATCCACAGCTGAAAAATCGCACATGATATATACATGTATTAAAAATTTAATTAAAAAATTTTTATATTATTTTTAATAAATTTTACAGATCTGTTTTTAAATATTGTTCCTTACTCGTGGATAAGTACTGGAACATCGCCAAAGTCAACTGTGGAGAGATGTGAATTCGTTGATTTTCTTTTTTCTCTGCAAATATGGTGAAATCTGTTGGCATTTTTGGACGAACCTGTCTTTTACGTTTATTTCTGTTATCCGCTGTAAAAATCAATATTCAGTATTTATTAAATAATACTTTACAGTTATACACACACACACAAACTTAAATATTACTAAAAATATTTGCCGCGAAAGAGCAATAAAACAAGACCTACTAAACACATCTGTTTCGTCAATAATCTCAGCCTGAATTAATTCCTCAATAACATCTTCCAATGTAACCAAACCAATCACCTCATAAAACGGATCACCTTCGCCTTCGTTGTTAACTCTCTGCACAAAAGCCATATGGCCTTTATGACCTATGAATAAATATGCATATATAATTGTTATACATATATACATGTTATTCTAACATGTTTTAAATTTGAAAAAAATTTTTATTAAAAGAATTATATCATATACAGACCTTCCTTGAATTGTTTAAACATTATATCTAATGTAACATCCTCAAAAATGAAATTGCATGGATTTTGATAAAATTGGCAAAGTGTTTTGAGCGGCATATTATCGTCGGGATCAACAAACGCGAGATCTTTGATATATAACATCGTCACTATATTCGTTCTTACATCTTCGTACACTGGTATACGCGAAAATCCTAAAAATAAAATGCTCTAGTTGATTCGACAAGCTTTGCATCACTCTGCAAAGTATTAATACAAAAACCTACATTCAATTAAAATTAGCAAGTCTCTTAGTTAGATTAAATGCTTATTTAATACAACATTTATCTGTAATAAATGCTTGGTTTGATAATATCTTTAGTGTTACAAATATCGATTGAAGTAAATGGGCGTTGTTAAAATTCAATTAAAATATTAATCGTACCTGATTTCATAATTTCAGACACAGTTTCAAAGTCTAGAATAGCGTTATAGTTCAACATGTATACATCTTCGATTCTAGTCATTACATCCGCTACAGTCTTCTTTCGTAGCTCTAACGCTCCTGCAATTATATTTACTTCATCTTTCTCTAAATCGTTGTATTCATTCGTTACCTAGAAAGGTTCCTGTATAGTATTAATATATCAATTTCAAATATTCATGCATTTGTCAAACATTTCTAATAATACTTTTTTATATACAAGATATTCGAATTTTTGCATGCACTATCAATTCTCAATTAAATGATAAGGATTGAGTAATTGGAATTATTCATGAAAAAATAAGGAATATGTTAATATTGTTAAATATTGCACGAAAACTATTCTGTGTAACTTTTCAACAAAGTCTACAATGTACTCTCTTTAATATATCGCAAGGCGATTCTAATTCTATTGAATTATTACTCAATCTTACCTTGACTAATTCCTTCAAACGTTCTCGATTATATACATTCCCAATCTCTTCACCTAGAACAAAATCTAGGAGTTTACTGATTGGATAGCTTAATGGAAAAGTGATTAGCATTGTCAATTTGGTGAGATAAATAGTCTTTGCACCGACGCACAATCCGTGCCTGCTGCAAGCAGCCTACAACGTAATCATATCGTATCTTTAAACATGAGATCATAAGTTTAAACATAAATAGAACAAGCATAATTCGCGCAAAAAACATACCTGCGGCGTGATTTCGCCGAAAATGACAATAGCTAATGTTGAGCAGATAATAGCGACAAACCCGGATGTCAATTCATCCAATAATATCGTGAACACTGAATTGACAAGAACGTTGGAAAACAGAATCGAACACAAAAGGTAATTTCCGTGATCTCTTACCGGCTGAATAGTTCTCGCATATCTTTTCTCCTACAACGAGTAGTGCAACATAAGTATAAAGAGAAAAGAAATGAAAATGTGGATATAAAAATCAAACTTTACTTACTTTTTCTGTGCCGGTATTGACGAGTATTTTCAATTCGGTCCTATCTATCGACATTAAACCGAGATTAAGACCGGAGAAGAGCGCGGAAAAACTGAGACAAAGGAGAATGATGATGATAGTGAGCCAGAGCGGTAGTAATGTCTTATATGTGCGGATCTGAAAATCTTGAACTATAAATAATTGTATTCCTTCAGTAACTCGATAATGTTACATCGAAGAGAGACTTTAATATAAATCTTAAATGTCACATTAATACAACAAAAGATGCAAAAAGAGAGAGAGAAAGAAATACATACATACATATATATATATATATATATATATATATATATATATATACTCACAGTATTATACTGTGCAGTGCCTTGATGTTTAAACAAAGGCACCTGGTCCTTCAGATTATCCTTTTCGTATATCGGCCGTTTCACGCATACGTAAAATGACGATCCCAGAGGAAGCACCACGCGAACGGTCGCTGTAGTTTTCTGTATATTTTCCACCTAAAAACACGAAGATGAGTCAAGTCCTTCATTTTTCTCCTCGATCATCGAGCTCAAACTTTATGAATACTCACTGGAAACTCGTCGCTTTTAATTTTATCGCAAACTGTGCCCCTTTCGGCTGGTTTATCGGTGAAGGCAATCAGGGTATCTGGCGTGATACCAGTGCCGAATAAACGGATTACCGCCTTAGTTCCTGCCCGGATCTCAGGAATCCCCTCATCGCTATGAGAGGGTTCCTTTTCGGCCGTCTCGATCCGCAATCCTTCGATATGCGAGTCCGTATAATTTTGAGCAGTGAGAGTTTCGAGATTGTTGAAGGAGAAATCATCTCGTCGCATACGAAGATGTTTTCTGCGAATAAGAGATTTTTTTAGTTAATTAGTAAATTAACTAAAAAAGTTAAAGTAAATTAATTTAACTCATTTTTCTCATTATCATTGTTGCTGTTGTTGTTGCTGTCTTTACTGTAAAAAAAAATCGGTCTCTCTCATATCTGGCTTCTCCGCATTTTTTACAGCATCGAATCTATCGTGAAAAAAATAGCAGCCGATAAGTTGCTTAATATCGTAGTGAAAAAAACCATTATGTCGAAGATACGCGAAAATCATTATCAAGATTCATACCCGAGATACCTCGTTAATCTACAGAATGAATTACGCGAAATGTGTAACGAGAACCCTTTCGTAAATAAGGCTATCGCCTTCGCAAAGATATTTAGATAAGGATATTCCAGATCGTCGATAATTAAAAAATCTGTGACAGTCATTATACAACGTGTTTGTCTCATGTAAATCGTTTAATCTGCCTAGATATCGAGTGTGTCCTCTTTCTTGAAATATCGAATATAAATAACCAAGAGGAAAAAACGCTTGTATCTTAAGCTCTCATGATTATTCGCTCGTTAGAGATTTGTTTTCCCTCTAAAAGAATCATTATTATTGTTAAAAATTATAGAAATATTATTTTTAACAATAATATTTATAAGATGAAAATTAAACAATAATAACACTAATACTGCTCGTGTGTTGCAATGCAATAATAAAAATTATAGGCCCAATAATACGAGCTAATTACTAAGATCTAAATAAAATAAAAACAAATAGTTATAGGTTCGTTTAATTAAGTAATCATCAAAAACGTTTCGACAAGTCGAAACTATTTGTTTTTATTTTATTTAGACAAGTCGAAACGTTTTTGTGATTATTTAATTAAACGAACTTATAACTATTTGTTTTTATTTTATTCAGACCTTAATAATTAGCTCGTATTATTGGCCTTATAATTTTATAACAATACTATTTATAAGACAAAAATTAAACAATAATAACACTAATACTGCTCGTGTGGTGCAATGCAATAATAAAAATTATAGAGCCAATAATACGAGCTAATTACTAAGGTCTAAATAAAATAAAAACAATAGATAGTAGAAATAAATAATTATAAGTTCGTTTAATTAAATAAGTCGAAACGTTCTTGTGATTATTTAATTAAACGAACTTATAACTATTTGTTTTTATTTTATTCAGACCTCAGTAATTAGCTCGTATTATTGGCCCTATAATTTTTATTAATAATATTTATTTTATATAATATTACTTTTGGGGGAGGAAAAAATCACAGGCGCATAATTTCAGGGTTGGCTCGATTCTTTTTGATATCTTTGGATTCGTTGAAAAATGCCGAGGATGAAATGCGTAATATTTCTTACATTGCACAACTGTTTTAGAGGGCAATAAATTTTGCGCATTCACGTAAATTTTGCGCGCGCAACAAACGTCATCGGAAAACGGTAAAATAAATACGGGTCACATACTCGATTCTATTTTTGTCATTTAACGTGGGAGCCAAGTTCGGCACATTGAATCACAGATCCGGCTGGATCGTCGCCAGAAAAGAGAAGGAGAGGTGCGCTCAATGATTAAAATCCGGCATCATCGATTCGCGCGCGCGAGTTTTGACGCAAATAATTAAACAAGATTCCTCGTCCCGAGCATCGTCCAAATGTGCGCGTCTAAAGTTGCACATTCTTCGCGTCGAGCGATAAAATATGCGTTATCGTCCCGACGTTTTATCGTCCCTCCATTCTCTTTATAATCCGACACGTCTAATTCTCCAGAGATGTTGATGACGAATAAACAGTTGTTGAAGTCGTGATTTATCGAAAACTAAACGATCTGTGTTGTTGCACCACGTTGTTGCGATAGCAAACTATCTTTGACTGCCTAGTCTCATAAATTAAAGCGTCGTTAATATTCGTGGGAACGAATGCAAAGATAATTGTGTGTCTCTCGTATGTCGAGAATCTGTGTAAATGAAGCGCATAACACTTTTCGCAGAGTAAATAATTAGATGAGAATATCAAAGAGAGGCGAATGAACTTCTCTCCTATTTCAAAATAGCCCTTTCTATTTTAAGTATTAGCAGACATAATATTGTGATGTTTGTTATTTCAAGTGGATGTCACGCTACGCGAGTTTTATCAATCTTTCAAAGATTTTTCTCCCAACACAAGACGTGTGTTATGTGAGAATCGAGGAAATAATTGGCAATCTTTCAGAAACTGTTCGACGAAGAGCGGCAAAAATTTTACGCGAGAATATGCATCTAAATATGAAAATTATATAAGAGAAACGCGATATATTATGCGTTTCACCAAGAAAAATATACTTCCCAAGTAGCTTTAATATCATTTAAATTTAATATTTAATATTGTTAGATTGTATTATTGTATTAAATTAAATTTTAATATCATATTGTATAATCTCATATTGACATCAATTAATATTACATTAATAATCTAATAACACACATTTAACATATTTATAAATAATATATGTATTATTGACACACACTTTGAATTGTGATTCAATTATGATTTGACGCGTCAAGGTTGTATAATTATCTCAATTAGAAATTGTATGAATCTCTCGGGAGATTCATGCACTTTTAATCTTCCTGCTGTGAAATAATATTAGTATCTCCCCTCAATAAAATACACTCTAATTTTATATCTTTTTTTGATATAGATATTGTCGCTATCTCTACCAATGGCTGATTTACAATTATTAGAATTATTAAGAATCCTTTTTTAATTATTTTAATTTTGCAATAATTTCATGACCTTTCCTTAAAACGTTACGTTTCACTTACTTTAGGAAATCACGCCTACATTTATCCTGTGACTCACATAATCGGATATAAAATGAGAGAGAGGAAAATACAAAGAAAAGTGACGAAGAATGACAGATTCGTGTACGAGGGAGGAAGGAGAGAGAGAGAGAGAGAAAGGAGAACCTAAATATAGATAGAGGGAAAGCTCGTTACTTACTCCGGTCGTACCGGGATTTTTATCGAGACACGATCGCCAAGGTTGCTCCATCTCCTCCCGTCTCCACCATCGTCATCGCTGGCGTTTCTCAGACAAAAATAGACGACACCAACAGAATTGGCGTTTACGGGAATCGTCCGAAATTCGTAGATCGCACGATCGCGCGCCGACGACGTCCACACCGCGTCCAGGAGAGCGTCGTCCGACGACGTCGGGCAATCGTTCGACGACGACGACCATCGTAGCACGAGTTCGCGGCCGAGACCGGCGCCCAGGAACTCGACGAGGGGGCGGCGATCGTCGGCAGCGCCGAACGGCAGGACCGACAACGCGATCGCCGACCTTATCACGGGCGCCGATTTCACCTCTGGCTGGTCGAGCGTCGTCGTTGACGTTGACGTCGACGTCGGCGCCGCGTTGACGTTTGCTAGCTGGGCGATGCACGCGGGAACAAGTAATAAAAGAATCGTTGCCGGCGCGAAACGCGAACGGGCGACATGCTGCGCCATCATACGATCACTGTGCTCTGCTGACAACTTCATTCTGCTCGGCTCGTGAGTCACTTCGGCGTGTTGTGTGTATATATTTATAACGCGCCGCCGCGACCGCGCATGCGCGCGTTCGCGCGCGCATGCGCCGAGCTCCTATCGGGAGAAACTGGATAGAACAGGTATGTATACACGGTCATGCATCGAGAGATGATCAATCGAATAAATTTCGATTCGTGAACTTGACATTGCGCAGAGCGCTCTTAAAATGTTAAGTAATTAACAAATTTCGGAGTTAAACTGAAAAGATTTGCCCTGCAAAATATAATCTGTTTAATTTAATTTAATTAATTAACTTTTGACGTATCGCTGATTTGCATAATTTTTTCAGCAACTCCTTATGGAATTCACTTTCTAAAGGCTTAAAAGAAAAAGAAAGATGATCAATATAATAAATTTCGAGATTCGTGAACTTGACATTGCGCAAAGCGCTCTTAAAATGTTAAGTAATTAACAAATTTCGGAGTTAAACTGAAAAGATTTGCTCTGCAAAATATAATCTATTTAATTTAATTAATTAACTTTTGACGTATCGCTGATTTGCATAATTTTTCCAGCAACTCCTTATGGAATCTACTTTCTAAAGGCTTAAAAGATAAAGTTTACATTGTGGCGATGCAATTTCTAATGCAATAAAAGCCAGATTTTGTCATGTTTGGTATACGATTAAAGATTATTTAATTATTCCGTATGATTTATTTATCATTATATTTTCTACGACACAATTTAATACTCAAATATGTATAATTTACTGACGAGTTGACGTACATGAATTTGACGATTAAAAATTATTAAAATTATTAAAATTATTAAAATTATTTATTTTATTAAAAATTATTTAAATTATTAATTATTAAAATTTATTATTTTTCTACCTTATTATGTATCCATATTTTTTCTCCATATTTTTTAAGCGTCAAAAGTAATCTTTTCATTTGTTCGTCTTATCGTTTGTTGGCAACACTTAAATCTAATTTGAAAAACACTTATCGTTTAATGATAAACGAATAATGAGTAGGAATTTACCTTGTCAACGTTGCAAATATACGTGCATCTTATATCTTACTGTTTATTATTCTGTTTATATTTACATCATACGTATACAATTAACAGACTACTACTATCTTTTTTATAGCCTTATCCCTTATTACAGCACAGAATATTGCAGCAATATTATTAATATTGTTGTAACACTGCAATATTGCCGCAATATTGCTGCAATTTTCTGCGCTGTACGGGATTAATTTTTACATGTAAATAAAAAAGTAATAATAATATATACAAATAAAAAAATATAAAATAACAATAATAAAAAATATAAAAAATAAATAAAAAACGTAAATAATAAAATAGAAAAACCAAAAATAATAATAACGATAAATAAAATAATAAATAAAGAAAAGAGTATAAAATAAAATTACCCCTGCATTTCACCTGCATCATGGTTCAAACGTAGACAGCTTCGCCAATTTCGAAATTCGCGCGTTTATAGCGAAACATATCTCGGTAGATGAGAACTGGGTAAATCAAAATAAGAAAAAAAATGATAATTTAACAAAAATGATATTTTCTTCTCGAGTGTATCAAGACTGCTCCCCCTCTTTTCCTCTTTTCCAGAAGAAGGAATGAATCATCGTGTAAGTGCGCTCGCGCGAGTTCGGCGTTCTTTTTTTTTTTTACGCACCGATTGATACACACAAACGAGCCTAGCGTACGCACATGGCACGCCGCGAATGTGTTCGCGACAGCTGTACGGCGTCGCCGCTGGAGGGGCGAGCGGCGATGGAGGAGGTGGGGAGGGGGGCAAGGGTTAGTTTTTAATTGAAACGCGTCTGTCGCGGTCGCGCGCATATTGCGCAACGCAAAACGTCCGCGCGTCCCGTTAGTTTCGCGCGCGCGGAAACGGTGAGTTTTTCTATAAATAGCCGCGTATTTCTCGCGCTAAGCAAGAGGTAGTGGCGTAGAGCGTAAAACGAGCGCAGCGTAGATTGTTTCGACGACGTCAGACGTCAGACGTAGTAAGTTGACGCTCGTCCTCGACTCGCGGGACACGCACACGCGTATCGCGGATTTCGTGGCATGTGAGAGAAGTAGCGTGATCGAGATACAGCGCGACGATAAAAGCGGCGACGCGACCTGGACGTCGCCCGGTCGACGATAACTCCCGGCCTCGAACGCCCGGAGAGCGTTTATCTCCTTCTTGTGAATCTCCTGATCGTTGCCTCGAATTTTTCGATGACATTGCGAGAGGGAGAAGAGAGAGACTAGAAATAGGGATCCAGCGGGAAGGATCGCGGTTGTCCTTCGGGGAGGGGACTATTTTTAGCTGTAGTTAGGCATATGCTTGCCAGCGATTCTCGCACATCTCTTTCCTAAAAGCGGTATTTCTTGAGTACAACCGTGCCTACATGGCGGGACTGTTGAGTTAGAACCGTGTGTTTTGTTCTAATTTGTTCAATACTTGAGTATACTTCCCTGTTTAGGAAGATGGAGAACGAACAGCATCATTATGAGTTGCGGAGCAGGAGCAGGTCACGCTCGCACACCCCCTTGATCCGGTCCTTGGCAGAGCCAGAGGTGACAGAACATCACTACGATCTCAGGAGTAAAAGCCGGGAGAGATCTCATACACCTGGAGAAGTAACGAGTAGCAGAAGATCTGGTTCTAGATCGCTGTAAGTAACTTGAACCTAAAGTTTGTCCTTGAATGAAATAATGAATGATATATTTTATTTTTATCTCTCTTGCATTTTCTTTCAATAATTATAGAACTGGTAGTGGTAGTAAAGTACTTGATAAAAGTATGGAAATGATTGAAGAGAATAAAGAAGGATCTGTGACAGAAAGTGTGACAGATAATCAAAGCACAAAATCTGAGGGTTCTGGTGTTACCACAAGAAAGGCAGAACGACGCTCGGAACGCCAGAGAGCTAAAAGACAAATATTTGTCAATGGTCAGAGTGAAAGTAAGGAGAATGTGTCTAATGAAAAATCTGAACAAAAGCGCAAAAGTGTTACGCCACATAGGATACTTACCAGTGATTATTCATCTGAAGAAGGGGAGAGAGAAGATCCTCCGAGTAGACCAGGATCTGCTTATGAGATTTATAAACAGGCTGGTGAATGGTGGAAGTATGTATGTTTTAAACTTCATTTCTGTGCATTACATTTGCTTCCTATTATCTTTTAAACAAGAATCTCTTCACATTTTGTCGCTAAAATATTATATAATAAAATATATATAAATAATTATGTCCATGTAATGAATTCTTTTTCTTGTGATCAGATTTGTATCTAAAACTATACATTTCTTGCCGCAAATATACAATCTTTCTCGGGAAAAGTGTTTGTAAACAATAGATTCTATTTTTGTTTGTAGATGATATCTCTCAGAGTCACATTGAATAGATATCAGTGATATTAGAATTTTGAAATTAGTTTACATAAATATGATTTAAAATAAAGGTCTTTGTTTGCGTATAATCAATAAGACTATTTGTATAAATGTTTTAGTGTTTTTCCAAAGACAGATTATACATATTCACAAACATCTCAATGTCGTTATGAGATAGCCCCGGGTGTATTAGCAATGCCCAATATGTCGCGGCGATCTATACACGCGGATGAAAGTATCATACCTCAGGTCAGTTATGAAAAATTAAGTCAAACATCACAAGGAACGACAGAGAGTGGAATTAGTGATATGGATACTGTTGATTTTAAGCAGAAAAGCTCTCTGAGTTATCCAGTAAGTATTTATTATCTTAAGTCAGTATTATTGTCCCGCATACATAACAATTTTATGTACTTCTAAAACAACTTTCTTTTTAAATTTTATAGTTTGATAACGATCATGATATGTCATATGTACCAAATTCATCAGCAAAAACGACTTTATATAAAAAAACACACATAGAACAATACAAGAGTCACAAAGAAGTAATTTATTCGCAATCACCTGGATATTCCTCAGACTTTTCCACAAGGTACATTTTGTTTTTTTCTTTTTCTCATATATATTAAAATATAACTTTTGTTCAATAATACATTTTTATAATATTTTTTATGTTAATAGATACTTGTCATGGTCAAATACTCCTTCAAGATTTATTGGAAAGTATAATGCAGCTGATTCTGATACTGAATTGGATGAGACCTTGACATCATCATCAGTCCAGACTAACCAAAGGTGGAAAATTGTGCAGTGGCTTACATATTTTACAACTTTCATTACCATTTGGTTCAAGAAAACCGTCGAATTCTTTAAATTCAAAAAAAGGCAGCATTATTATGATGCACAAACTTATCGATCTCATAATGGTACTATTGGCATTTAGTAATATAAATATGTACTTATATAATTATTTTATTCTCAGTAAATAATAAATATTATTATTGACATTAACTGTTATTTAGAATCCAAATGGAGGGCACTATGGCAAGCTTTGGACCATTATACGCACAATACGTACTTTTTCTTTGTGAGAATGCTCGTACTCGATACTTGGTTACTGAGTCAATTTACCGGCGTTAGAAAATGGCTGCAAGAAAAAAATTCGAGGATTTTATGGATTACACTTCTTCCATTACTTCTTCTATTTGGTAAGTTTCACAATCTTCTTATTCAAAGAAAGAAAAAGAAAAAAAGAACATCTCTCTCCAGACTCTACATTTTCTCATCGATCCACATGATATCTAAACCAATCATTCAAGCATAGTCAGACCAATGTCTTTCGCGGGACCACAGCACCAAAAAGGCGTCCAAACCTATCCTGGCCTTCGTCTTCTTTTTGTTTCAGGGGCTTACATCGCGCAGACACATTTCTTTACCTGTGTGGATTCTCTGCGCAATGTCCAATATGGTGTCACTGAGACGACTTATCACATCTTTAACTATATTACCAACCTAACATCTTTTTACTATGAGTTACTTGTAAAATACTTTGCAGAACTTAAAAATTATTTCATGCACCTCTTACCCAGTGTGAACGTGTCTTTGCCTGAAATGCCTCCCATTGGGTGGAATATAAAGTGGTGATTAATTGAAAAATTGATTTAGAATAGTACAATATAATCCTTATATACATATAATTCAGTTCAAATGGATGAAGATGGTATATTGGACGTTTATATATTTTTGTGCAAAATAATAAGAAAATGTAATAAGTGATATATTACGTAGTTATTACAGAAAGGTTTTATTAAACTGATCATACACAAAATAGCAAATAATATTTACAATAGACATAAAAATCTATATTTGTAAAAAAATGTGATATACTTTCTTCATCCATTTTTTCCAAAATTAACATTTGTGTGGGATTTAATGTTTTTGTTTTTATTTTGCTCCATGACAAAGTCAGTATGTAATAGTTATTATCATATTATATTTTAATCGTTTATCGTATTTATAAAGTTTTGTTAATTTCGTGTATAATATATGCATTTATCAATTTTTTTTAAATTATATTTATCTCGTATAGTTTGTCAAAATAATATGTCGTGCTAACATCGTTTTAAAGATGCTACTTTTCTCTGTGTTTTTTGTTTTGTATATTTATAAATTAAAATTTAACATCTAAAATGTGACATCTTATAATTTTTATATGCTGACTGTCAATTAACGCTTTGTTGATTTTTGTTTTTACTAATGAATTAATATTGTGTGTAAAGATTTATTTAAGATAAATATCATTTCTATCATATATTGCTGCTATATATCTTATATATAACTATATGTAACTATATCTGATATTTCAAACTGTAGCTGGTCATTATCTAGTTCACATCAGAATCAATGGCTTTTTTGTTATATTCTTTATATAGTCTATTATATATTTTATGTATTACTAACATAACACACACACACACACATACATATAATATTAAATAATTGTTGAATAAAATAAGATTATAATTTTTTCAGTTAACCACCACATATATATTTTTTCTTACATACATTAAGGATATGATACAATAATATTTTAATGTAACAATTATTGTGGATAATATATATTGTAAAAGCACGTTCATACTTAATAAAATATTTTTCATGTATACAATATTAGTAGTCTTTTGTGAATACAGTCTGTTAGAGTGATATAGCGTCATAGTGTCACAATCAAGCATTTTATGAGATCTAAATCTAAAAAAAAAAATAAAAAATAAAGTTTTACAATGGGAGAGAAGGATAGAGGGAGAATTTTATTCTACTGGGTGTTAAAAAGTCGGAGTTGTGCTTGAAAAACTTGGAACCGTGATTGCAATCGATGCCATCGAAACGGTGAGTTTCTTCGTCTATCCTTCTCTCAGTTACAATATTGTATAATAGTTCCACTTCGAACAAATACATCATGTAATTGGTGTATGTGCCATCTAAAATGTCACTAATTATAAATTATATAATTAGACAGTTATGTGGCACTAATTTTCGTATTGGAACACTGTAGTTCAATACAGTAACAGGAGAAGGAGATAATATTCTTGTAATTATCAAATTTATGAATAATATGGAATTTATTTTTCAGGTGGTTGGTGTCTAGTGCAATCTTTCTCCCTTCTTTCTGATATTAAAACTGTACCGCAAACAATGACAGAAAAATTATTAATTGACTTACAACAGGACGATAAGAGTAGAAATGTTGAAGAGAAATCGATTAATAAAGAAATACACACAAATGATTTGGTTGACAAAGCTAATTTGGATAGCAGGATAAAAATACTCGAAAACAAACAGACAAACCAAATGGTATATAAATCTATATTTTTTTATAATTATATATATAACGCTTGCTGTTTTATGATATATTTAATATTTTATGTAGGAATATCTTATAAATATTACTCGAGTTTTGGAGGATCAAAAACAAAAAGACGTTGATTTCCAGAAAGAATACAATGTAAGTTCAAGTATGCACATTAATGCTTAAGATTTAATAATTATAGAGCTCTCGAAATTCTGTGGTGTTTTCAGGACAAGATTATCAATTTGGAAAATAAATTGGATGTTGAACTGAACAATGTAATGTATAACGAGCTAAAAGTTATCAAGTATGAATTCGAGAAATTACGCGAACTCTATTCAGAATTAAAATCTTGTTGCAACACCAATGCAGAATTTATCACAAATCATGATTTAGAAAAGCACGTGGAAAGGATTTTATTTAGTTATCTTCCTGGATTTTCAAAAGAAGATCTAGTAAAAATCAGTCAGAATTTGCTCACATCTTACAACAGAGAAGGTTTCAAGTTAAAGCATAGATCATTAATCTTGTTTTAATCACATACACATGTTATTAATGTTGAATATTACATTTTTTTTATAGATCAAACAGCTTCCAATAATGACGTCGGAAATGCAAACGTTCGCGTTTCGGACGAACAGATCCGCAAAATTGCAAAGGAAGTTTTGCAAATATACGATGCGGACAAAACTGGTCAAGTAGATTACGCTTTGGAATCGGCAGGTATTCTATCACTTTAATAAATTAGAGAAATAATGGATATATAAATGCATAATATTGCAATAAATAAATTTCTTGTGTTTGTACAACAATAGGAGGTCAAATCGTTAGCACACGATGCACTCAGCGATACGACATAAAATCGAGAGCCTTCACCTTGTTCGGTTTCACGTTGTATTACGAAAGCAATAATCCGCGGACGGTAATTCAGCGGAATCCGATACAACCTGGTGTTTGCTGGGCTTTCCAAGATTTTCCCGGGTATCTCCTGGTACAATTGCGAAGCGCCATTTATGTAACCGGTTTTACTGTGGAGCATGTTTCTAAATTGATCTTGTCGAGTGAAAATATGTCAAGCGCGCCCAGAAAGTTTAATGTCTGGGTATGTAAAATAGTCTCTCTTTTATATATCAGAGAATGTCTTTCTTTTGTTTCATATACTCATATTTTTTTCACAGGGATTAACAAATGAGAATGATCCTGAGCCTGTAATGTTTGGTGACTATGAATTTACGTATTCTGATGATAACTTACAATATTTTCCAGTTCAGGTAAATTTCTAAATTTTTATTTTTATTATTATATGTATAATTTTAAGTAGAAATTTTTATTTATTGATATTTATCTCTACAGAACGCAGCAATCAATCGACCATATGAATATGTAGAATTAAGGATACACAGCAATCATGGGCAGCTGGACTACACATGTTTATACAGGTTTCGTGTTCACGGAAGACCAGCTTAAAAATTAATCGAATCAAAGATTCCTCCTCACACAAAACGTTCATAAGATTGTTTAAAGCAATAGTGAGAACAAACCACAACTCTTTTTTGACATGTGCCTTTAACTACCATTATTAATAAACGCAACAATTGGCGTGATTTATCATAGCACCTGTAACTATATTGTGAATAGATGGACTATTTAATGTTTTTGTAGTAAAGATTTTTCCAACAAAGCAAATCGTTTCTACAATTGTTGAAACGCATTGAAAACATTGTGTATATACACATAAAATAATATTAGTAATTTATACAAATGAAAAAAAGATTGTGTGCATAATTAACATCAAATGGAAAACAATTACATGAAAAAACATTCATAAATGTCGGCCTAATGACATTCTAAAATATCGCTTATATAAATATCTTCACTCTATGGCCTTGCTACAGTAGTTCATGAAGTAAAAGCGCCTTTAAAAAAAGCACAATTTCTCATAGGAATAAGAAATTAAGAGCGAAATAGATATTAAAAAATGAAAGAGAATGGTGTCACAAGTTTTAAGATTAAGAGAATATGCAATTAATTATCATTATTCTTCATATCATATCAATTTGATAGCATTACTTAAGTAAGACTGACACTTCAAAAGTTACCCCAAAGCTGAGTGTGAGTCATAATATTTGTAACTCGACAGTACAAATTGTAAGGAACCGTATTATTAATTAATTTAATTTTTGTCTTTAGACTTTTACAAGAAACGATTTTTTTCACAGCAAAAATCACTCGCAGCACAAAAGCAGCAAGTAGCTGAAACACTCACTTATTGTTTGCTATATGAAGGAACTCTGGTTCAAGTTTCGATACAACATGAAAATTCTCTGCGATATAATCGCTCTATCTCCCCTTTTTTCTCCTTTTTTTCCACTTCCCTTGTTATATTCTATTGATTGTTAATATACCAGTAGATATATCACCTGCTAATTTGGTTGGAATGTATAGATCTTTCTATAAAATCAGCTTGACCAATAAATTGAAGAACATAGACAGAAAAGACTCTCAATATTAGTTCATTTAAAAATAAAAATTCATTTCATCCCTTAATTAAAATCAATTAATAACACATTAAATTAATTAATACAGTTAACTTTAACTCTAGTTAATTTTGAAGTTAAGGGAAATTAATTTTTAGTTTTAAGTATATTATATACCGCGAGTGATTTTTGCTGAAATGAAAAAAAATCGCTTTTTGTAAAAGACATAACATTAATATATTTGAAATATGTGTATATGTATATATAAGGTATTTAGCAAGTTTTTGCAGCATTTATTCTCTTCTGCTTAGCTATTTTTAATGCACTAAAACGTTTAAATTTTCGTTTTTTTAAAATAATGATACATATATTTGAAAATGCTCGATTTCACGGTGGACGCGCGTGTTCTGGTTGCATAGTACTTAGACTTTAATCGTGCCGAGGATCGGATTGTCTTGGAAAGCACTCTGGACCTTTGCCATATCGAAATACAATCGCCGCAATTTTATCGTCTTCACATGTATGTGGTAGAATTTTTACATTTACAAATAAAAATATGCGTTTCATTCGATGCGATTCGGTTTTCTTTGCCCGTATTGGAATTCGTGAATTTATCATTATCCTAGATCAGTAAAAAAAAATACTTCAATTCACTTTAAAAAAATAATTTTTAAAAATATTTTAAAATATAATTAAATATATTTTAAAATATATTTTAAAATATAATTAAATATATTTTAAAATATAATTAAATATGTTTTAAAATATAATTAAAAATATTTTAAAATATATTTAATTATATTTTAAAATATATTTTTTTTAAAAAACCGAATTCCTCTCCCCCTTAATTTCTTTCGAATCCAGACGCGTGTATTCACGAATTCCAATTTCGCGAGACACGCGTTGCTCGTCGCTCAATCATTTTCGTCGTTTTCCCGCGCCTTTAACCGGAAGTAACATCCGAACTCTCGCCATAAATCTCGACTCGAGAAAGTCCCCGCTCTCGCGTAGATCGAGTCGCGTGCATTGTTCCCACGCGGTATACAAGCTCGTACCTCGGAGCATTCGACAACTGCGAGGCATCCAATTTCGCGATCCGGTTTTTTTTTTTTATCGAATTTCTCGAACGAGCCCACGTGAGAACGGGTCAACGCGCGGGGCTGAGGGGCGGGGAGGGGAGCCCCGGGCAGCCCCCAGGCGTATCGAGGAAGGGCGTGGCGCCCCCTTGTACAACCACGGTCCTGACGGAAGGCTCGCTCCGAGGGAGGGAGGTTGAACGGGTGCGGGGAGGAGAGCCGTGGGGAGCTTCCGTTTATCTGCGAGGTCAGAGAAGGCAGGCTGCGCGCGTTACGGTGGTGCTGTTGAAAAACACGATGAAAATGGCGTGGCAACCGCAGGAGGAAGGACTCAGGCAAATCCTGACGCTGCTCAAGGAGTCGCAGAGCCCGGACACGGCGACCCAGCGAGCCGTACAACAAGTATCCTTTGGCCGTTCGCCGCCTCGTCCGTGTGATCCGAGTGCTCGATGTGTCTCGTGTCCCGTCGTCGTCGTCGTCATCGTCGTCGTCCTCGTCGCCGCCGTCTTCGTCTTCGTCTTCACGTCGTCGTGTCGTGCGCTCGCACATACGTGGCTACGGAGTGAATGGTCGAAGGGGGACGCGCGCGCAAACCGTCGTTCGCACGTCATTTTCCTGGGGCGATGCTCGCGCGCCGATCCCGAGGAGATGTGGCTCGCGGAAATTTCGCGAAAATTAATCACGCGCGAATACACGCGAGATCGCTCCATTTCGAGATCGCGCGCGCGCGCGCGCGCGATCTCGAGCGGGTTCGCTGATCGCTGACGATCGTCGCTCGCATCCTGTCACACGGCTCGCTCGCCGACGCCGTCGATCGAAATGTCGTCGTTCGAGGGGGTCTGGAATCGAGCGTACGTTCTCGTCGAGCGCGAGCTCGAAATTTGTTAACCACGCATGAATACGAGCGGCCGCGCGCGAGCGGTGCAGTTTCCGGTCCTCTGATCGATAGCTTCGACGGGAAGCTCCTCTCACGCGGGCCCGGGCCGGTAAATAAACCGCTTGCGCTGCCCAGATTACTACCATATTGAATTGCAACCTAGAATGATATTGTGTATAGATGATATGTGTGTGTGTGTATACACACACACATATATATACATATTATATATATATATATGTGTGTGTGTGTGTGTGTGTGTGTGTGTGTATATATATATATTTCATATATATATAATAGAAGTTATAGATTATACAACGGTAGTTTGATCAGAAAAGTAGATAAACACCCTGGGAGAATTGTAAATGCTTTTTAGGTGGGTTTAAATCTCTAATGTTTATGTCGCCATGTAATTTTTCCAGACAGGTCTTTAATATGATTTTCCTTAACTACATCCTTGAATGTAGAAATTGGAAGAGTTGAACAAGTTCCCAGATTTCAACAACTATCTGATTTTTGTCCTAACAAAACTTACATCAGAAGGTATGTTATTCGCAAGTGTATATAATTCTTTGTTGAAAATATTTTTGTTCATGATTATGCGCATCCCAAAATATATGCTAACTGTATGACGTAATGATTTTCTATTTTTCTTAGACGAACCTACTAGATCCCTGAGTGGACTGATACTCAAGAATAATGTAAAGACTTACTTTCATAAATTTCTACCAGAAGTCATAATTTTCATAAAGCAAGAATGTCTATCAGCTGTCGGAGACCCATCGCCGCTGATTCGTGCGACCGTCGGTATTTTGATCACTACTGTCGCATCAAAAGGTGTGTATATATTTTTATTATATCGTATGTCATATTTATATCATAGTGTCTGAAATAAAATTATTAATTATTTCTGTAAAGGTGAATTAACAACTTGGCCGGAATTATTGCCAGCATTGTGTCAAATGTTGGATTCTCAAGATTACAATGTTTGCGAAGGAGCATTTGGTGCTCTACAGAAGATTTGCGAAGATTCAGCAGAGATATTAGATTCAGATGCTCTAAATCGCCCTTTGAACATTCTGATTCCAAAGTTCCTTCATTTCTTTAGACATTCGAGTCCCAAGATCAGATCTCACGCAATAGCGTGCGTCAATCAATTTATTATTCAACGTACACAAGCGCTTATGATACATATAGATAGTTTTTTGGAGAACCTCTTCCATTTGGCTTCAGATGATGATTCTGAAGTCCGAAAAAATGTCTGCAGGTAATTGATAATATATGGCGATATTTTTGTCCTTTTCTTTTTCTTTTTTTTTTGTTACTGTTATTGATAGAAAGACATAAATTTTTATTCCATATTCCATTTATCTTTTCTGTATTTTTGCATAGGGCACTAGTGATGTTACTTGAAGTACGAATGGATAGATTAATACCACACATACACAACATAATAGAATATATGTTAATGAGAACTCAAGATGTTGATGAGGGAGTGGCATTGGAAGCTTGCGAGTTTTGGCTATCATTAGCGGAACAACAAATTTGCAAAGAAGCGCTTACACCGCATCTAACTCGATTAGTACCTATCCTAGTAAGTTTTTACCCACATTTATCACAAGTTTAACAAGACAGTCGTTCTTCATGTCAGTTATTTTTAATGTATTTTTTTTTTTCGTTTTAGGTGAGAGGTATGAAATATTCAGAAATTGACATAATCCTCCTTAAAGGAGATGTGGAGGAGGATGAAATGATACCAGACAGGGAAGAAGATATCCGACCGCGATTTCATAAATCAAAGACGCACCATTCGCATCATGCCAATGGTATGGGCAGAATGGCACAGCACACTGACGAGAATGGCGGTGTGAATGGCGACGACGAGGATTTGGACGTTGAGGACGGATGTGATGACGATTCGACTTTGAGCGACTGGAACTTGAGGAAATGCTCCGCTGCTGCACTAGATATGCTAGCTAATGTTTTTCGAGAAGATCTTTTACCAGTTTTGGTACCAATTCTGAAAGAGACCCTCTTCCATCAATCCTGGGAAATTAAGGAATCTGGTATCCTCGCATTGGGAGCTATCGCCGAAGGTATGCATATTCATTTCTCCTTAAAATATTTTAATAAATAAAAGATATGTTTGAACGAGATTTAATGCATTGTTTGCATAAACAATTGATTACAGGTTGCATGAACGGCATGATTCCGCATTTATCGGA